GTACTCACACAACCCCTGCGCCAATGCTGCTGATGACACGTCTATTTATAACTAACAGTAGTGCGGCCAAGTGATGAAGTTAAGCGCATCACTTCACCAGGAGACCGCTCCGTGCGGGAAAAAAAAAAAAAGCAAAAGCCTATAAAAACTGCTTACAAACTTGCCACTATTCCAATCAACACACCAACGACTGTTTCTCCAGAAAGTGTATTTTTACACTATCTATTTCCAAACACCAAGTGTCTGTCTTTCTGGAGCGCTCCCTGACTTTTTTAGAGGCTGCATAGTTGGAAGCTGCGGAGTGGAAAGTCTACAGTGGCCAGAATGAAAAGGGGCTCAATTATATCTTATCAAAATAAAATAAGAAACATTTTAATCATTAACTATTTTTTTTCAAATATTTGTGGTTTTCCATTAAGTGGCGATAACAAGTGGAAATTCTGACCCTCAGTCACGCAGAGCTGAGGTCATCCTTTAATGATAGACTGGTGACACAGTCCCTGATACGCTCGCTCTCCCTGGCCCTGAACGTGTTGTTCGGCTCAAAACATCAAAAATCAGAGGACAACCACTTCTCTTCCAAGTGTGTTCAAGGGCCTCTCTGAACTTACGGTGGGGGCGGGCTGAGAGAACATTAATGCTGTTGGACCACCGGACAAAAATAATTCTAATAATTATATTTAAACTTTTTGATGCTGAGAGGGATTAGTTTACACGTATTCCTCACTTGTCAATATTGTCTCCACCTTTGGAAACAAGTTCCTATAACTGACGTGATGCAGCTGGCAAACATGGAACACACACTCCTGCGGCTTAAGGTGGAAAGATGTAAACACAGGAGTGTTTAATGGGGTGAAAGAGTGACATCTGGATTGGGTTGGTCAAAATAACATGATACGGGTCACAATTGAAGATTTAAGATTAATATGTAATCTTGGAAACATTTATATTCAAGCTAGATGTCCATGAAAGACCTTATGTTTAAGCTTTCAGATCCAGTTCAACTGATTGTGTTTGTTTTTCCTTTGAGAAATATGTTCAATTTAGAAACAGAGAGTCTTTGTTAGGAAAAAAATAACTTAATTGATAAATGAATAACAATCAGTTGAATAATATATAGAAACATAACGTTATCTGATCAAAAGTATCCAAACATCTGCATTCTAGGTTCACATCTAACTCAAATAGAGGAATACATCGCTAATATAAATATTGCATTACTATCTTGACCTCCTTACCCGTTAGTCAATAATATTATGTAGTATAACGGAACATTTTGTAAACAAGTGAAGCCTCTATACGTTCCAAACAGCCATCCATCCCTCCATGGGTTTCATCAGACTACATGAGCACGGTGTGAAGGCTGGAATGGGAGGAAGCTAAACTCAGTCTCCTATATATTACGGATTTATTCTATTTCCCCGATCAGTCGGGCACCGGTCGCTGAATTACTGTCAGAACCTTTTGCGCATTTTTCCAATCTGGTTATTCCGGAATTGTTACGCGCCTCGCTCGCTCCGTGAGCGTTCTACGGCAAAGAAATGTCTGATTTTTAGTATTTTCGTGCGCGGCGACGCCACTTCGAAATGCAAAATGGCCACATGGTCGTAGTAACCTTCAGCTCTGCTCCCGGGATTCATCCTCTGCCTCTCTGCGCCCCTGACGTTCACACCAAGCCTGGTCAAACTTGTCATTTCGAATAAACAAAAAGAGCCTCATCAAATCAAATTTCCCTTTGCGCCTTTGTCGTAATTGTGGATTAATTGCGGCCACCTATGAGCGGCGGCGGAGCCACATGGTCCGCAGAGGAAAAGGGAATGTTTTGGTCACAGTCACAGGTCAGTCGCGCCGCTGACCGGCTCTGTCGCAGTCCGTCAGCCTAAACACAATACGCGTTCATCCGATTCTACAGAAGACATTTAAACTCGTTAGCTGCTCCTCAGCAGGCAATATTTGCTTTCTTTTAAATTGAGTTTGACTGGGGGAGAAGAGGCGCACCACGCTTCCAGGCCTCCTGCCGTTTAAGCACCAGGCTACGTTTTTGCCAAACTGTTATCAGAAATACTTACTCTCTCCATGCGTGGACCGAATGCAGATAGTGGAGACAGAGAGCATCAGACCCCAAAACAAGGTCAGGCTGGCCATCGACGTTTCTGATCTCACGTTCCAGATCATTATTTTCTTCTTAGAAATAGGAAAAATAAGGACGTATAATTCAAACAAAATAACTGGCGTGTGCGCATCAGCTCATCTGCAGAGAGCACGTGCATCAAGGAGGAATCAAATAAAAATAAGAAAAAATGTCTGAAGCCTGTAGGGCTACTCTTTGGCAGCAGCCCGCAAATGCGTTGTCTCTCTTCTGTCTGGCTCGAGATTTAAATAAATACGTGCAAGTGATCGGAACAGGGAAATGGCTGGTTTAAAAAAAAAAAAATGAAAATGATCAAAACAGTCTGCTATTTTTGCCAATCACTGGACACTTTGGCTGCTATGGCACACAGGCCAGTGATTTTCCTGGATAAATTATGGTAATCCCCATCTTCATTCTCCATCTCTTGAAAACAGCAGCACGCTTCCAGTGCGATCGGGCCCGGACTTAACTATGTGTCCCTTTTTTTTTTTAATCTGTCAAATGTTTTCACTGGTTGCCTCTGCCGCCACCAAAAAATAACATAAATAAATTAAAAAAAATAACGCCAGTGTCGCTCGTAAGAATCCCCGTGAGAAGGTTTGTGTGAGGAGGAGGAGGAGGAAGAGGAGGCGGTGGGGTGCAGGCGAACGCGTCCTGATCCACAGGGGTGGTGGCTGGGAGGGTGAAAAATGAATGAAAAATGCTGTTCCTCTGTGTCAATCAGCCAGCGGAGGCTATCGATCCCCAACCGAGCAGATGAGAGCTCGCATTGAGCGGCCGTTTCCCCGTTTCCCCGCCCGGGTCCGTCCCCGCCGTCGGCCGGGATTTGCAGCTGAAAGAAATTACCAGACTTGTGCCACGCAAGAGAATGGGTCTCCAGCTAGACGACCTCGGCTGGGGTGGGAGGGAGAATGAGTCCACGCAGTTACCCGTCTAAGACGCTTTCTTGTTTTGTTGTTTTTTTTGCTTTTAACCTCAAACAAAATTGTGAAAGGGGTGGGGGAGAGGAAAAAAAAGCGTAAATCCACAGACTGACGTCCTCCGGCTGGGCTTCGGTGCGCGCAGGCTGTGGGTCTCTGCCCCACCGTGGAATCGCTGCTGTAAACAAGAGTCGGCGTCTCTCACACAGAAACACATAGTGCTACGGATAAGGTGGTCGGAGCATGGCTGAAAACCCGGAGTGGATCCAGAGCCAGCGATCCACGGAGAGCTGCGACACCCCAAACAGAACGCGCGTAACCGGGGAGTCCCTCTGAGCGAGAAAAGCGCAAAGAGGGCCACGATGGCGATCATCACACCCGAAAAATGATCTCTATCATGTGTGATTAAAGATGACTGTGTCGTCTGAGGGCTCTCACATCTCACACACAGTGAGCCATCCTAGATTGATCCATCCAGACTTGCGCGTGGGCTAGGCAATCTACGCGTACATCTCACTTCCTTTGAGGCACTGTTTTTATCCCTTTTTTTTTCTTTTTACGCAAAGCAGGTGGGTATGCGTTTTAGTTCGAGATGTCTTAGCCAGGTTGATTTGTTCTTTTTTTTCAAGCTCAAGTCAGTTCTTTCGATTCTCTGCTTAGGACTCACAGGCATGTGACTTTTGGAAATGACTGCATCGTGTTGTCTTGTGGCAATAAGCGAATTGAAAATCACTGTAAGGTGGCTCCTTTTATTTATCTATTTTACAACGCTCCCCAAAATAACGCAATATCCTGTGGCTAGAAGATTGAGACAAAATACTTTCCCCCCGCAAATTTGTCAAAATAAATAATAAATAAATGTAAGAAATATATTGCTGACAAATAAGAGAATATGTGAAACCTTGATGTGGAATTTATTTGTCCAAATGAAAACAAATACTCAGTCTTCTTCCAAAAGTTAATTTATTCTTAACTTTTCTATTTGTCTATACAAAAAAGACAAAAAAATCATATTAAACAAAAAAAGTAAAGAACTGAACAGATGCTCCTGTGAAACATGAGGCAGATAATATTGTTCATAATCAGGTCAGAAACCAGCTGGATCAGGCAAAAATAATCAGTGAATACTTCAAATGAATACTGCATCTTCTTTAAATTTAAACAGGCTGAAGTGATGTAAACTTTGAAACAGTTTGATTGGATTTCTACTTTCATTTGGTCTGAACAAACTGTACATGCTAACTACCTAATAACAAAATCTCTTTGGCAGTGCATTTCACACGTATATGTGTGACTTATTTTTCTGGAGGTACTCCAAACCTAACCCTAACGCTGCAATTGTAATATTTCTAGGCATAATAAAGCAAACCAACACTGCTTAAAAACTTTTAAATACAGATATGTCTCTCTGCTCTTCAATATTATTTTCCCAAATTTGAAAACATTTTCAGTAGACTCTTTTCGTTGATTCATTTCACTAAATAAATCTGTCTTGTTCTGTTAACTAACATTTAAGCCAAAGTGCATAACAAAGAAGCATAACCCTAATTAGATAATAATTATTAAACTAAAGCACATTGCAAAATAAAATCCTTACACCCAACACGTCTTAACCGCATGATTTATTGCTGATAGTGCAAATAGAACTATGCTCGGCACCATGGAGTCTCTGAAGTCCACTGGAGTTATACCACGGTTTAAACTCCTCACCATCTCCAAAGGTCCCGCGTAAAACCTGGTATGGATCTTAACCCAATGGGAGACTGCCAGCTCTGCCCTCATCTTTCACGCAACTCATTCTTCCAGAATGTCTTTGAATGTTTACGGTCGTCTATTGTAATGATAGGCTTACTCAGATCTTTACCATCTCACACAGTCAACATGCACTTGCTGTCCGGTAATGTTAACCCATCCCCACAAAGCAGCTACGGAATATGTAATATTGTTATATAGCGACACATAATATGAATGTCATAATAGCGAGAGAAAGAGAGAGAGAGAGAGGGAGAGAGAGAAGAGAGAGGGAGAGAGAAAGAGAGAGAGAGATATCCGGCTGAAGTAACTTGTTCGCATGTTTTTTAAATTTTTCAAAGTGCGAGGCTGTGCTTCTCAGTGTCCTGAAACGTAACTACTTTGAGGAGTGACTGGCCGAGTGCAAAAAGCAAAACAGAATCTTATTGCAAATACGACTTGGACAAAATTTCTGTCCGAGAATCATTGGTGGAAAAAAAAAAAATAGAAATAACATTGTTTTTCTCAAAGTCTAAAAATGCAGCTTTCAACATCGTTTTATCGATAAAGTGGCGCCCTCTGCTGCTTTATCGGAGGTATTACAGTTGAGTGAGAAAAAAACGACATTAAAAAACCAAATCTCAGTATGGAATGTGAACAGCTCAGATGGAAATCGTAAGATAAAATAGAAATACGAAATATTTTCTCTATTTTCACACTTATAAAGATTTTCCTAAATATTTTTTAGCTTAAGTTTTTGTAAGCATATGTATTCTGAAAATCAATTCACTATGATTTCAAACGTATTCTTTTATTTAAACTTTAAACTTTTCTGTGACCTGATTCCTTTCCTTGCTTAGCTCTGAAAATGTATAAAAACTTAAAAAATGAAAATATGAGAAATTTTTAGAGGCAGACATCAGAAAATCTTAATTGATTTTACTTCACTTAAACAAAATATGAAGAAACTTATCAAAGTGTGATCATAATTAAAAACTATTTCTGTGTTTTTCTTTACATTCACACGCCTAGTTTGTCATTAATCTTTTGTGTTAACATCCCTTTATCCATTAACTTCTTTAGCTTAGTATTCCATTATCCAAGTTGTTTATTCCTTTATTTCATGCAATCCCCAAGTTCAAACTGTTTAAGTTGTATTGGAGTTATGATCTCTTTCATAAATAAAATAGTGTCTTTTTAACTATCAGGAAACCTCTCTGATATTCAATTCACCTCTAAATTCTTACACCTCTGAGCATATAAAAACTTTTTCTTCAGCTGCATAACTAGTGAATTGTAAAAATACAAACAAAAGACTCACGGTGACACATCAGCTGAGTTAAGTTTAACTTCCCTATAAAAGATTTCAGAAGCTAGAAATAGAAACACAGAACAAAATTGAGCTCCCTGTGATTAAAAGGGTTTGGACCAAAAGAAAAAAAACAAAATAAACTCTATGTTGGAATCGTCAGGTTTTATGTGACTGTATTTTTTTTTTTGTTTTTTTTAGGTACACCACAGTAATGTAGCTGCCTCTAAAAATAACTTAAAAACTAAAAAGTAAAGAAAAAGTTTCAAAGTTGTGCATGTTTCGGTATACTCCTGAGTTGCAGCGAGATTCCGCTTAGAACTTTGTATTTAGGGCACAGTTATCAGAAGGTTCAGGCGTGTCTTCTTCCTCTGTCTGCTTTTTCTCTTTAAAAACCCCAAGAAAATCCCAGGACTGCGGAATCAGTTGACGAGAGAAGATGAAGTCCACGAACCAGGACAGAAAAATAATAGTCATAATAGAGCAAATCATGACCAAAGTCCTAAAAGGAAAATATTGTCTGATTACTCCATTTTCCTGCCTCCAACCGGGGTACAGGAGAAGGGGAGCAATGCCAAGTAAAGGCTCCCCGCTCAGCAGCCGCAGCAGAGAGGCTACGACGAAGCCGCTAACAGCCCCGTACGTATTTGCATAAGTGTAGTGCAGCACGCAGACCAGCTGAGGAAAGATAATACAGTAGATGAGGTCCCCGCTTACAAGCCAGAGAGCCAGCACACTGTCGTCGCCAAAGGCCAATCCGGTCCCGGCCACGCCCACCAGCAGCACGCTGATACGGATCACCCACTGCAGCTCCCTCTCCGAGGCCTTCGGGAAAAGCAGGAGAAACGATTACGCTAAAGTTGCTGTGCTCTATGCTGAATCAAAGCACGCTCACACACCTTCTTCCTTAAAGTCGTCTTGTATATGTTTTGTGTAAACATGGATGCTGAGGACAGCAGCACAGAGTCCATGGAGGACATAACGGCTGCAGCCACAGAACCAATGCCTAACACTGCCACCCAAGTGGGGGTGAGGTGTTGAAGGGCAAGAGGCAAGATCTTTCCTGCATCCCCACGCTCAAAAGGAGGGGGCAGACCATACTCTGTCTGGTTCCAGTCTTAGAAAAAAGGAGAGGAGGGGAGAGGAGAGGAAACACAGGCAGAGCGAGAAAAGGAATGGCAGGTTTTGGAAACATTTTAAAGAATGTGGCGGTGATGGCATAAAAAAAACTAAATTAAAAAAATTAGAGCAATTAACCATAAATGATGCCATACCATCTACCATGGAGATGAGGGCGAATGTTGAAAATGCTCTCATATTTAACTGGTTATCATTTCCATTAAAGAGTACCTGCAGAGGCAGCCATGACTCCAACGACAACTGAAGGGATTCCCATGATGAAAACTGTCCCGGCAGAAGCAAAGCAGGTGATCTGGGCCTGAGCGGAAGAGGCTGCAGAGAGGATCCTTTGGTATAGAGCTTGATATGAAAGTCCCCCTAAAGCCTACAAAATACACAACACAACACAACTTTGTCTGTCAGCAACTTTACAACAACTATGGAAAAATGGGTCATGCAGAATGAGATATGTCTGCACTGCGGTTAACAGTATTAAAAAACTCAGGAGGTGTTCTGGAACCATGAAACTGTCCAGTCTTGTTTTTGTTCTCTGAAATAACTAAATAGATGAAACTGAAACTTGAAGATTTTTGTAAATCAATCTTAAAAAGGGTTGATGATTGATAGGTAGAGCGGTGCAAATTTGGCTCAAAAGCACAATGGGTTAGGATAAAGCATTTCCAGGGCTGGAGCAGTTAGTTCTACAGTTGTATTTTTATGTCCTGTGTGAAAAACAAAGGTCTTGATAATAAAAACAGAGTTTGAATTCCATGTGGTTGCTCCAGTTTCAGGATCCTGGCATTTCACAGGCACCATGCATGTGGTGTCACAGTGTGAGGTCTTACTGAGACCTTCGGCTAGCTTAAAGTCATTCTTTATGTTTGGCTTACAGAAAAGCGGCACCATGGGAATCTTTTCCAGGAATTAGTCCTTTACGGTTAATGTCAACCAGCAGCACCCACAGCATAAACAAGGAGATGACAAAGGCATAAACAAGGAGTCTTTCAAGGATATAAAAGAATATAAAAGCCCAGGTTCATTTGCATTTCCCCTAAGGTCTCAGGTACAGGGTAGATTAAGCAAATTAAGTCTATTTAAATGTTGCACCTCCCTGACTTTCCTCCATTTTGCCAGAGCAGTCACTTTGGTATAAAACCAGACTACAAACCCAATTAACCCACAAAGTGTGTTTGAAGTGTATGAGAAGTTTGATGTTCTAAAATTAAGACATTTGTAAATATGTTAATCGTTTCAAGTGAATATTTTAGTTGTAACTGAGTACCTGTCCGTGTTAATTCTGATTTATTCAACCACAACATCACAGATCCTCCAGTTTTAACCTACTAAACAGTGGTCACAAATATATAGATTTGTTTATGATAAATTCATGCACTGATAATATACCGCGTTGGTGCTTTTGTGTAATGATATAATGGTACAATGGTTGCTCAAATTGAAATGTGATGCCAGACAAACAGACAAACCTTTTAAATAGGGACAACAAAAAATTCTGCCATGCAAAAAAGGCAGACCCCAAAAGCTTCTGATGGGTAAAAAAATGAGGGTTCATAACTATCCGAGAGTGACAATGAATATTTTAACGAAAGAATAATGTTTCTATTACATCAAAAACAGCAACGAATTAGCTTACAGTAGTGTTTATTATACACAAAGACGTGAAAATATTCAAGAAAAGGGGAGAGATCTATTTGTATCACAGGCGAGGGTGAATGCCAAAGCTTATGCTCGTTGTCTTGGCACAGTATTACACATAAAATGCAAGTTATTTTCAAATGACACTGTTTTGTGTTCATCAACATTTTAAAAATTTGGGGGGGGGGGGGGGATTTAAAAAAGAAAAAAATGATTAAATTGAAAAAAATGACATACCAGTAAAAGCATTTCATCGACCCATTTTCCTGCATCTCCCAGCTCCAAGTTTCCGACCCACGAGTGTCCATGCGTCTGATTGAAGGAAGGTGTTTGTGGGATGCCAGTAACTGCAGGACTGAGTACCAAAAAAGGAATGCAGAGCCACTGAAAAAGAAAAAAAAAACACTGACACCACACCCACATGCGGGTTCTATGTTCACTGATTTACTAACACTTCTTGTGCGTCAAAATTCAGTTGTTTACTTCTTGTGCTTTCTCCCTGTACAGCTGCTTTTCATGGTTCAGTCAGTCTTACTCTATAATTCCTTTTCATTTTTAACTCTGTTCTTTGTTCTTTTTATTTCTTACCAGGCTGACAAAGATAAAACAAAGCTGGATAATATCAGTATATGCAACTGAGTAGAGGCCCCCCAGGAATGTGTAGATGATGGAGACCGCTGCTGAGATCACGATCGACAGAGCAGACGAAAGTCCGAGAATGATGCTCATCGTTCCTCCTGAAAAATCGCAAAACATTCAATTAGGGAAAGTTTAACATGGAATAAAAAAGGACCACTCCTTTTTTGAGGTAAATTTCCAATAAGCATCGGGTCAGGTAAGTGATTCATGTCAAAACATGAAAGAGAATACTCATCAAACCAAAGTGATGGGGCAATACCCCTCAATGTACACCACAAACAGCCACAATCATCCTCCTAATGAATAAACTAAAACTTTCCTTTGTCTGACTGGCTCCTTTTTCTTTGTCTGTGTCCCTGAGCACAGGGTGTGTCTGTTTTGGCTCTCCCTCCATCTACCTCTCCGCACCATAGGTTCTTTTTCTCATCAGCAGGCAGCATATCTTTTTTACGGGCTTCATGCTGTTCCCTGCCAGATCATTGCTCACACCACGGGCAAACTGGCTCAGCCGCCTCACCCATCCCAAACTTTCCCCCATTCTACGGGGGTTGTTTCACATGAAACTCTGTCAACAGATGCATCCCACGCTTCCTTAACAAAGCCTTATTTACACACAGTTACCTTTGACGGTTTAAAAAAAAAAAGTTTCTCAACAGGTATCGTGGTGCATAATGTTCGGGTTAATACCCAAAACAGGAGCAACATAATTCTGCTTGGTAAAAAGCAAACCCTCCCATCGGTCAAATTGCTCCACACAGCCCAGTCATTCTGCCTCCTTTAATAAAAACCTGTCCCAAAAGACTAGAACTTTATCTTGTTTGAGAACTTGACAGAACACACCTGCTGAAGAGTTCAGCGAAGGTGACGCAGTCTTGCCAAGCTTTGAGTGCGCTACAGTTCCTCAGCAGCTATGTCAGTACAAAGCGTAGAGACAAGTGCCACAAACTTTACTCTGCTTTTTTAGAAGTTAGTTTTTCACCCCACTGCAGGAGTCAGCTAGGCTAAATATGTTCAACAAAATCCTTTTTCGCTTGCCACTAAGTCAAGTGGGCTGGGGCCAATCCATTATCCAATTCTGGGATTTTAACGTTAGAAAACCTAAACATTAGAATGTGAACAATGTTTTAATAACCACAAAAAAGAGTGGTACATTTTGAATTGCCATTATATAACATGTAAAGTAATAAATTCATTGCATAACTATAGGATTAAATAATTCCCTTTTATATTAAACATAATGACATGAAGGCTAAAACTAAAGAAATATTTACCCAGAGCAGCAAGGATGCAGGCAACCCATAATATGTCACTGACCAAAGCAGGAACCATGAGTATTGCAGTGAATATGTTGCCATAGCGACACTGAAATGGGTCCAACATGGTGACATAACGCTTTGACCTCATAGGTTTGGCAAAAAACAATCCACCTTTAGGAAGTAAAGAACACAAATTTAAAAGGAAAATATCACAAGATCTATGACTATCATAAATGATTTAACTAGTTTATTGTTCATCAAACAGAGGCACATATAAGCAGAATCATTCCTTTAAAAAAACACCAATAAGGGAACGGCAACAGTCTGCTGCCTGAAGACTTATAATATTTAGGCATTTAGGGCAGAGAACTCAGAACAGTGTTTTAGTCCTCAGTTAAATTCTAAAGTGTAAATCATTTGATGTTTTTCTTTTATTAAACATCCTCTCAAACAATACAAGGAAGTATAATGGCCACACAGCTGGTAAAAATGTATCTAAGCTCAACGTCTAAAACATTTTTTAAAGCAGATTAATCATCTCTACTTTTTGCAATAACCAGAACTGCCAGCATAGTAAAAACATTATATGTTTTGGCTACTTACCTAAAAGGAAATTGAGAGCATAGGCAGGAGGCCCCATTGCCCAGATGAGACCTTGAGTGGGAGAATAAACAGCCTCGGCAGTTCCCATAACATAACCTCCACCAACCCAAGTAGCTGTAATTAAAGCAGAAAAAAACAGTACTGAGTCATAAAACCCAGGAAAAAAAGTATAGAGAACCAATAACGAGATGATACACGTAAAGTCAAAGATGGTACCTGTCATGGTGAAAATCCCGACCAGGACACTGATGTTGCGACCACCAACCATAGAAACCTCGCTCTTGCTACCAGGGCATGTCTTCTCCACTTTCTTGGATTTTCGAGATCCCCAGACGCCGATTACCAGGATGCAAATATAAAAAACTATCACAGATATCAGTCCGGGGACGTCGACTGCCATGATGATCTGGTCACATAAAAAAAAAAAAAAGAATTCATTCATTTAAAAAAAAATCACAAGGCCATTTTGGCATATAAAACTCAACAAGCGTTACAATCTTTTAGGAGAAACACAGTTCTTATTTGGTTATTAAACACTGGGACTATGCTACAAACCGCAAAGTGTTAATTTTTTTGAAAATACAAAAAGTGCTGCTTCAAAATGATAAAATATTTTCAGTCACCTACATATGAACTTGACCTTGACAAGCTATTCTCTTCTTAAAATGGAGGACAGGCACAATGTTTTTTTATGTTCTATCCCAGCTACAGCAGTTTGTTTACAACCCAAACCAAAATATTTCCTGTCCTCGCTGGCTCTGGCTAAACCCCATTAGTAAAATTCAGCCAGAGGATTTCGGTCTGATTGCACTGGAAGCCCACTAAACACAGAAAGGGTAGTTTTCATGTTCAACCGAGTGCATTTGTAGTTTTCCTGTAGTTGAAGTATACCATGAAAAGATTACTTATAAGTTCATTCTGAATTAATTATTTTTAGATCGAGTGCCTTTTCACAAGGATTTTGTTATTCTTTCACAGCAGTTCGAAGGAGAAAGTTGGTCTTCAATTTCTTACCTAGAACTCATTAGCTTATTATGAATTTATTTCAATCTGTTTCTGTATAATCAGTAATGTATTAGCGAATTTGGTTTTTAACACACTGTTAAAAACAAACCTGTTTCCAAAAGCAGGTCATCTTGACACAACCATCAAAAATGAAAAGCCATACGAATGCAGTTTTTGGGCCTCTAACCCCTCTTATTTGACTTCAGTCCCACCACACTATTCCTGAATGAGCAGAATGTTTAAGAGATCTTCTGTAATACAATGATCAACGCAAACTTATTGAATTCACATAACTGTATACTAACTGCATTTGGACTTAGTCGCTTTTTTAAATGGACGCATTCAGTGCAGTCAAAGGCACCATTTACAAAAATCTATTACCCTAAAAAAATAATTAATTAAATGGCAATACCACTCAGTAAATAAACACAACAGTCTGAGATATAACCAACACAATGAATGATCAAACTTGAGAAACTAATGACTGGGCTTCCTTTTCCTGGTTGTGTAGAAGCATAATCAATTAGAGAGCAATATTTTTAACACCGTCAAATACTGTCAGGCTAAATGGTGTGGTGACTGAATTTAAGATACAGATCCTCTGCAGTGTAAAAGTTAACTCAAACAGTCATTCTCTTATGATGAACTAACAATCAACACATGATTATCTATGTCTACTATTTCAAACAGCACCTACCAGGCCTAAAAACAGTTCTAAGCTCTATTTGTTACAATACTTTGTTTCTGCTGTCATGGAAGAAAATAATAACTATAGAGTCAATAATTGCCACAGTAAGTCACAGAGGGCCTTTCACTAAAGGTTCATTCGCATTGATTACATTGAGCATAGATATGAAAAGGCTCATTTTATTCGTCACAGCTCTCAACCCTGTGGCAACAACAAAATGCCAAAGACCTAATTAAAGAACCGGTTATACCACAGGATTTCTACACCCAAATGCCATGCTAGTAAAACATGGTCCAGGGCATACTGTTGGGGTAATGTGGACATGACTAGAACATGCACAAGTCTAAGGTCAACTTAACCTATTGTGTTCCTTTGCCACACCCTTCAGAATTGGACTTCACCCAGACAAAGATAAGGTCAATGCACCTGTTTAGCATTAAACTGTCCCTGTGTGGTCTTCCCTCGGCCCAACATCATGATGAAGGTATTGTTATACTCAGATTTAAACTCTACTGGCATTTAATGCTACTTCTCTGTGCAGACTGCTATCAAGAAGCGTAGCTTTAAAAACATTTAAGGTTCTTCAGCAATATGTTTGATAATCCAGGACCAAATTCAAAGATAGAATCCTATTCTGTGTTTCCAACCTAAAAGTTGAACAGCCTGTAATGTCTTCCCTAAAACTCTGATTATACTGATTGATCAAGTTACAATGGTGGAAAGGCTAAATGTTACCCATTTCAGAGTTATAGCTGAAATTATTTGTGCTACGTTTGACTGCTGCATGGAGCCAGTAAATAGAGTTAAAGATAGAGCTAGATTATATAAACGCATCTATTCACTAATGACTGCTTAATTGTGAACATGTGACCGAAAACCATAATTCAGACGTTTGGTTTTTTGTACACCCGAAGAAAAAGAGCCTCGGGTCAGCATCTCCCTTATGAGTTTTGGTAGAGGAACAACTGAAATCCTTTTTTATTAAATTTGACTTTAAGAATCAACCAAGGATCTACAGTAAAACAAAGTGAGAAAGCAGTCCTGTCCTAACTTATTTTGGGGGAAAAAAGGAGTACAGTGAGCACAAGCAAGTATTTATAACAATTTACCACAGTGGGGCTTAAGACAATGCATCATAACTTTCACACAGTTTAATGTTTTTGTTAGTCTTTGTGATGACCTAGATGCAGGCAAAAGCTGGAGCAGAATCTTTGCTGTTGCTGTTAAAGAAGCTATATAAGATAAAGGAAACCACGCAAAATCCCTCTTGAGCAGCAGAAGCTTAGGCCAAAGTCAAACAAACCTCAGCTGAAAGGCCACATGGAGATCCTCAGGCATCTCTTTATTATGTATTTATTTAAAAACAATCAGAACCCCGCACATCTATCATTCTCCCCTCCATGTGGTAAACTGTGCAGCTGATATTCTCTAAAAGAGTGAACATTTGGATGGCTGATGAGTGACCTGTAAAAGAGGCAACTATTCTTCCATATTTCATAAATATTCATAACGTTAACGTGTATCTAGCTGATACACGGAAGTCATTATCCATTACCAAAAAAACCCACGCAGTTCTGATGTGGGATTTTTTTTTTTCTCACAATTTAGAGAAACCACTGCTATCCCTAGAACAAACCACTGATATCCCTAGAACAAACAACTCCAGATTTCCCCCACAATGACCACAATGAGTCAATCTTTACAGCTTTCCACACAATCTTTCCTATTTCCCAAAGATAATGTCACGTTTTAAATAAATTAGTCTCGGAGTCGTAATAAAAAGGAGCGTTAACAGCCTGAGGGCGCCCAGGAACACGATAAAGATAGGCCATTTCGCATTGTTGAGAAAGAAGAAGAGGACAAAGCAGAATATACTGCACGTGTCAAAGGCTTGTAATTTTCATTTTTATTTCGAAACGCATCAGATAGCAGGTAGCGGAATATATTTCCATAACAGTCCGAAAGGAAAAGAATATACGTTTATTGTGATCTGAAGGAGAGCAGCACTTTAAACAGTTGAACAGGATAAACAGAGAAAACGCGCAACTTCCGCTCAAAGTCAATTTGTATTAAAAACGTGCGCACGGACAGTGTTCCGTTTATTAAACAAATAGTCTACGAGATCTTTGTATTAAAAAAAAAGACGACGTTTGTCTGAAATAAATCAATTAATGGCAACAACAAAAAAATCGATGTATAGCATTATTAACGCTCCAGCTCTCCTCTGCATCCCAACCATCACAAAGAATAACACCGTAACATTGACCTAAATTGTTTAGTCAAATTATTCCACCATTTTGTTATACCTACCTCTCTGAAGAAGAAATATCCTTCACCAACCTCTGTCTGCAGTTTTCCACTTAACCATCCGATTGTAAAATGACTAGTTGGGTGGGTGGCGTTCAATGCATCTACGTTTTTCCAAACAGCACTAGGAGCGTTCACCTTTTTCTAACAAACGACTTGTGATTTTTTTTACCGAGCTCCTCTCACGTAACATTTACACGACACGTGTATCTAAAGAATAGCAGGCACATGTAACGCTGTGGTTAAAAAGGCTCGTTTAGAATAAAACAGGTTTCTGAATAAAACCATGCGGAAGCGGTTTTATTTGAACGTAGCACCTAACGTAACGCGACTCTGGGTTATCTTAGGACGTTTCCTGCTATCCTTTTATACTTAGGTTTTGACCCCAGAAGAATAAAACGTTTGTCTCTGCCGTGAGCAGTATCGTTTACAGCTCGCCTGAACCCCCTTGCATATTTAACCCTGCTTCTATAATAAGCTGAAACAAGATGTTTGCAAATGGACACCACCTCCATAGTATCACAGCGACGCAACTTTAGATGTATAACCTACGTAATACAACGCCTTCTTCATTTGAAAGAGTAGTCACTGGTTGAAAAAGAAACGTGAGACAACAAACGCGAGTACATTAGAAGGCGCACCGCTTGGTGGAACACCGAGAGCGTTTTGTGTAAAACGTGATTTTTCTATGTGCATCACATGCCGTTGAGTCACTAAAATGTCTCCGTCTTTTCCCCTTTTTTTATTCAGAGAAAGACAGTAGTGATGCTGTTTTGACGTTTCAAAGTGTCACTTTGAAAGGTCCTTTGTAATATTTACGGTGAAAGAAATATCAAATTAATCCGGGATAAAAGCCCATTTCCAGCTTCACCAACCAAATAGATCGAGTGCGTCATTCACAAGGATGATAAGTCTCTGTATGTAGTGGGGGACGCTTGAAGCTGACCCGTTCTACGACTTAATATCTGAAGCTGTAGCCTATAGAGAATGGATGGATGGATGGATAAAGAAGAAGCACGAACGTGTTCTTACACTAAAGTGTCCCCTTTTGAACAGTGTGTGCAGAAAGGTTCCAGGTCCAGGATATGTGTATGCAATTGGGGACTAGGATTAGCACAATTTTTTTCTCTGTAACAATACACAGTTTTTGCACAGCGAGGTCTCATAAAACAAACAGTTATCAATTTAAAGTGTACATCTTCAATCTTTTTACAAGTCTACTCGAGCAGATACTTTTGAGTAGTAGTACTTGCCACAGCCAAGTGACTGTCATCATTTCTTGAATTTCTTCTCAGAATATTTGAGATCCACGAAAGGGCCATTTCCCCGCCACAATTTCCCCTTTGATTCATTTATCATTTCTACCCAAAATAATTTACATGTATGCTTATCTGCTGTATTTAAATACAGTGAAATGCTTTCTTCAAATTTTTCATTATAGAAGTCTATTCATCATTCACCATCACCACCATCATCACTCTGGTGAGAGTTCGGCCTAGAACCAGTTTTCGAAGAAGATGTCAGTGCTTCAAGCAGAAAAAAAAGCTTTATTGTCAATGGTTCAGGTATCTTTGCTCTATGTGCACATTACAGATTGGAAAAAGAGATACAAGAATCAAATAGATGGATCTGTCAATGTGAACTCCTTGTTGGTAGCTGTTGATTCCGGGCAGTTAAGAATTGCTGGTCCGTTCCCTCCTGGGTCAGAGGTGCACACTACCCATTGATTGTTGTCCTGTTCAGCTTTGTGGGAATCTAAGAATGTGTGAGCCGTCACCTCGTGCTCTTTACCATATGTGGTCCTGCAGAGAGACAGCTGTTACACACCACAGAGAAGCAGTAGCTATGCTCTCATTGTGCTATAGCTTTACTGTTCACAACCACAGAGGAGAGCTTCAGCTGTGGAGGCGTCAAAACAATCTAGTCAGATTCAGTTTGATCTGCACATCAACTTAGTGTCATCAAGTTTTAAGGGGAAAAAAATCTAACTTTGCTGACAGTCTTTGTAAGGATTCAATCTCTTCTTATCTAAATTACATACAGTATGGTGCAAGTCTTGACTCTTCTCAATAACAAATTTGAAAATGGTATAAATGGTATAGATCAAGTTAAGATAAGATAATATCCTTAGATAAAATTAATTAATCAATTCATTCATCAGGAAGTTATGTCAACAGGCCGGAAACCAAAAGCGATGTCACCAAACGGAAAGTTAGCATTCTGCCCGCATTGGACCGAATTTGTTTGACTTCTGGTCACAACCAGAAGAGACGTCACTTGACTGGAAAGAGGAAGTGACCTCCACCATACCTGAAGTTGCATTGGATACATTTTTTTTTCTTTTCAATTTTAGAACTTTTAGTCTATATGTACTTTTGCACCGTCCAGGGTGCACCCCGCCTCTCGCCCATTGACTACTTGGATTGGGTCCAGTCCCCTGCAACCCCATTAGGGAATAAGCGGTTCAGAGAATGGATGGATGGATGTAGTTTTGCCATTTTTTTGTGTACTGTCTCATATCTTCTTTTATTAACAGTTTTAAAATATTTTTCCAAATTAAATTACTCAAAGTGTGGGGGACAATGTAAGTGTTAAAAGAATGTACAGAAAAAAACTTTACTGCTTTACTGCATTCTCACAATAAATGATAGCCCAAGACTTTTGCACTGTACTGTATACTATTTTTGCTGTTATCGATGCAAGCCTGTCTCAACAGACTTTAAAACTGAAACCAAAGGCTTGTTAAACCACAGCATACACTGTTCATAGATGTTACATTAAAGGAAGAAAAAAAAGTAAATACCAAAGAACTTGATCTCGCAGAACTGCAAGAGCATGGTTTGTCTTGCAATGAATGATCACCACCTTCACATTTGCCTACATTAACAAGATAGAAGCAGTAGAAATAGTTAACATATTCGTCACAATTATGGAGATAGAAAGCAAAACATCCTATTGTTACCACAGATGTTATTCATTAAGGTACAGACTTACAGGAACTGGCTGACCCTCATATTCAAGCCTTTCCTGGGGATCAAAGTGAACTATTTTCCACCATGACAGAAAACAGTCTCTTTCATCCAGGAACACTTCTTGGAGGCGAGACTTCTTTGCACACTTTTAAATCACAAAATAAATGACACAATGCTGTAAATCACTGTTGGCCTTCAGTTAAATATATGTTGTCTAATGTGATGCAGCCTACCTTTTGAAAACTCTGTAGATCACTTTTTAAGTAAAGCTGAGGAATAAAGTAAACAGAAACTGTGTGAACTCAAAAAGCTGATATTTACACTGCAGGTTTGAGCAAAAACTCAACATATTTTCCAAATCTCTAAACCAATACAGAGCATGCATATTAGCTTAAGATCAATTTATTCAAATTAAGGGGTAAAAATGTTCCCACATACAGGCCCTATAATGTAACTACAACCTCTTGGAATATTCATTTGAAATACTGCAAAAAGGTCTATTAATGAATCCGAAAATTCTATTAGTCACTCGGAGTCACAATAACTGATTAGTTTAAAACAATTAAAAGGAATATCTGAATATCTCATCAAAGCCAAATGATCATGTTGATAATAAATGGATGTAGATCTCCACATTGTGCATGGATAAGCTGAGTCTGATCTGCATTACAAAAAAGCCATTCACATGCTGAAAGTGATTTTCCAGCCAACTCTCCAGCAGGGGGCGTTTCCTGACTGATCCTGACTGTTTTTCAGCAATTTTTTAATTTATTCATTCAGAATTTAATTTGAAGCTCTGTTCCTCACATTTAAAACTCTTAATGCCCTGGAACCATCATATTGTATCTTATAAATTAAGTAGATGTTCTACCAAAAGTGGTCCGGGCTCTAAAACTGCAGGCAAATTGGAGGCAGTCTTTACTTAGTTTTAGTTTAAATCCAGGAGGCAGATACCCTCTTTACAATTGATATTAGGCTGAGAAATTTCATTTTTGATAAAGCTTAAAGTTGGGGATAACTCAGGTGACCCTGAAACCTCTCTCCTCTCCTTCTGCACCTCACTCCCTCCTTTGTCCTGTTTCTCCAGTGTTGTTGGCAAAAGTTGGACAGAATGATGTGAGTACTTACCCCTCTGGAAAAGCCACTTGTTGTTTTCAGTGCAAAGCTTTGGTCATAAGACAAAATGGATCCCTCAGGACTGCCATCCACACTGTGTCACACATGCAGCTTCACAGGTTACAAATATGCATTTGTGTTGAGGTTCAAGGTGCTTTCCCTTCAAAAAAGCTCACCTGGTAATGATGAAAACAGTGCGTGGGCATGGCTGAATGCCTCTTCCTGCACTAACTCCACACGGAGCCTGAATACCAAGGGATGGAACCTTTGTCAAACTGTTGATGTCAGCATTGATGCTGACAGCAGTGCATTCCCTCCTTTCTCCACGTTCCACGTTCACCAACATCACAGCATCACCGAAGTGTAGCTTTCCATCAGTTGTGACAGAGAGGTTAACCTACACACACGGACAGAATCTGCAGTGGTTAAAGTGACGAGTGATGAAATGAGATGTCTTTGTTCATTCTTTTAGTTATGCTCTTAATAAGTTTACACTCAGTGTACCTGTTTTAACATATTCTGTTTGAGGAGGTCGACTTTCTGGGCAGCAAGCTCCCCCCTCTCCTTTTTCTCCAGATAGTCTTTCAATGCATCCTGAAGATAATAAAACAGTAGTGTATCTCTATAATCCAAAACTCAACTTGTGCATGTTGGGTCTTACTGTGTTGCGAAGATGAGGCCAATCACTTCAATCCACTCCTTATTACACTAGCAGCTGTCACTAATCATTTGTGTGTAGATGATGATCTTACTAAATTAACCTTTAAAAATAGAATGAGGAAATTCTCTTCTGCTAAATGTCATGTGTGGTTAAGCACGTTATCATTCTTTATCTCACAAGGGATCCAAAAGTGGATGCCTCTTCACTTGGGATTAAATATTTTGAGAATCATCCATCCTTTTTCTGAACCATCCATCCATTATCCATTATAATTACAGCTTATTCCCAAATGGGGTCGCAGGGGGACTGGAGTCTATCCCAGTAGTCAGTGGGTGAGAGGCCTGGACGGGCCAATATTTTGAGAACCATACACACCAAAAGTTACAATTGTTCTTTGTAAGTTAATTATCTTTCGATTGCTCAAGACCAGAACTTTACATTGTGCAGATATACACTGGTGATTAAATGTTTATCTAAAAAAAAAAACATATCTTATAATATCTTTGTTAATTCAGTGCCTCTGTTTTGTAATTAGCTAATTAATAATACAAACACATTATCAACTTAACTGCAAATATTCAAATAATAGTTTTCTTCATAACGATTTTAACCCTCGTCGATGAAAGGGTAAATTAGCATGGATAATCTTATTTAACAATCATTTTTTCCTGGTGTTGTTTGCTATAGGGTTTCACTTGATATGAATAAATGCACATATCTACAAGTAAAAGTCAAATCAGTAAATAAGGGTGTTAAATGAACTTCACCGAAGTATCCTAGTAATCAAACAAGTTTTGAATGATAATTAAACTGATTTGATCATGTCTAAAAAGTAGCATGTTGACGGCTGTACAAGAAAATATTTATTTGTTAGAAATAGATAAACATCATCTCTTTTCGAAACAAACCTCCTCTAAGAGTCGATCCTCACTCCAGTTTCCAGTTTTCACACTTGATCGATAGGTTTTCTCCTTGGCCATTCTGACAAATTCTGATCCAGAGGGCAGCGATAAACAGCAGCATCTAACGTTGGGCTGCAACTGGATTTGTGTAGTGGTTTCTAAGGTAACGGTGCTATCTGTAGTTCTCGTTAATTGTCGCGAGAGGGCGTCCCTGTACTGCCGTCTACATTCAATTTTCCAAAACTGGCCGAGCATGTAACCAGACAAAGAAAAAATGACTGACATTGCTTCATAGTTTATTCCAGCAGCGAACATAAAACACTATGGCCTTTACTGGCTTATTTTTGTTTTTATTATATGTTTGTAAAAATACAATAAACAACATCTTTAAGAAGTCAACCTGTATTGTTATTATGTTTGAAATAATATTACATTATTTAACTTCCTTCACTGTTCTTCTGAATTTAATATACTTGAATCTTGCTATTATTATTTCACAAGATAGATTTAAACTGTCACACTACATGTTTTGATGTTCAGAGTCCTTTATTTCTATCAGCATGTGTCAGTGACCATTGGCACGACCTCTGGGACCAGATGCATTCCTATAACTCAGATTAGTTTTTTTTTCTCTCATTGTGTCACTGTCATCCTCTTCTTCATCACTCCGGTCGTCACCTTCGAGCTGCAGGATGAGATGAAGCCACAGTGAGAACACAGAAAAAAACATAAAGTAACATAAAGTATCTAACTACATAGAATGGCAACAGGGTCACACACCTTGCTGAAGATAAACTTAAAAAGCATTCTAGATATAAGAAAAGCCCAGTAAACATGAAGAAACTGTAGAACCAACAACATGATGTTGAAGAAATAGTAGCCAAAGAAGGCGGGAAACAGCTCCAATGGATACACCCATGTGCAGTGAATAAGCCTGCAAAAGATATGTATGCTTGTGATGGGTTATTACCAATTATTGTGCAATATATCATTTGCTTTTCATATAACACTTACCAGAAAGGAAAAATGACAAGTCTTGTAAACATAAAGAGAGCTGTAAACACCACAAACAAGCCATTAGCAGTCCGATGCCACTTGGCGTAGTTGAATACCTTTGCACCCTATGAGATGAGCATACAGAGAAGGTAAGGGTAAGTTGTTTTGTTTGGAAAAATGTGGTTAACTGACAAAAAAATAGATGAGTGCCAGTTTATATCTTAGAACATTATAAAAAATATGAGTGAGTAACTCTTCATTCAACATTTGATATAATCTAGTATTTTCACTTTATATAAAGTAGTATACTTTGGTTTCTTGCTGCATTAGTAATCCTAACTGTGTAAAATATATATATATATCTGGCTTAAAATAACACTTTCCAGACTTTGCAAAATACAACGATGTTTGTATTTAAGGATTTAGTCTCATTTTACGTTAAAATGCTACGCTGTGACAACAAAAGTCATCGCATTAATCAGTAATCAATGTGATGATAATGATATGATGAAAACGATCATGTGCTAATAATACTGACCTCAAGTAGTATATCAGAAGAGTCATGGATTACCATCACCAGAGTTCCGATTCGGATATAGTTTGAAATCCATGAGAAACTCAGTAGAGTTATTGTGGCTATATGATGGACCACCTGCTCTTTGAAGTCCTACACACACACATATTTCTGATTAAGTTTTTATCAGTACAGTACAGCTACAGTATTTTGTGGGAATTGCTCACAAAACAGCATTTCATTGGGATATCATAATAATATTGGGATATTATCAAGAACGTGAGGCATTAACTAGTGCAAAAGTAACCATTTGTTAGACATTGTATAATGTGACACACGTGTGCACGCTTACCTTTCGTTTCACATCAAATGTGAGGCTGAGAAGCAGCGATAGGTAAAAACCCAATTCCAAGAGGTAATACCAGTACTGTGATGGCAGCAGAGACTACACAAACACAGGCATATGTCATTTATCATCCAGCATTTAGGCATAATCCTAGCAAAAAAAGATAAAATTGCTTGCCTGTTTAGGAAAAGATGCCCAAACTTCCCTTAGATTATAAAGCCATGGTTTCTAAAGCAGACAGAGAGTGAGAAAGGGGTTAGCCAAAGGACCAAGAAGCCAGAGGGCTATTTGTATAACACCGTCAATCCTAGCATGTGTGGGGGAAAATGTCATCAATAATATTCCAGATACTTACATCATAAAGAGCCAAGATACCGCCGATAAATGCAAAAAGATAAAACACACATCTCCAACTGTTGAAACACAAGCAACAATGGTGTCACATGTTTACTTATCACACTTGTCTCATCTGTGCAACATTAACAGAAACACAGGCACCTGGCCTCACAGAATCTCTTCCGAAGTCTCGGTCGCTCCTGGTTCCTCCTCCTCCTGAACCACACTTCTACTCTCTTCTCTGGCCAACCGGTCTTTTTACACAGAGACCTCACATCTGCCTGTGACACAAAGAACACATGTAGTTACTCTAGTGACTAGAGAAACTAGGGAAAAAATAAACTAAACTCAATACAATATTCTACTGCAATTCTCAGTTTATTTTAGTTACCGTAGTTCTGCAAAGGGATAATCATTCTTAAAAGGCTTTAGTTTTGATATTTAGTTGTATATTTGTCATAAAACTTTAAAGTGTCCAAGCAGGACTCCTCCTCAGGTCAAATTTCTGTGTCTTTCTTTTAATATTATTTATCCATTCTGTGCATATATTTCATCACCCTTTAAATATTTTTGATAAATCCAAATGCTGAAATCCAACTGCTGTAATGTATAGTCTATGTAACTACTGACTGAGAATGTTTCTCTATCAAATGCCTTGTTTTTCATACCTGTGATGGGTTCCTTGCTTGGCTATTGAAGTAGTTTTCTAGGACAGGGTTTTGTTCGGCTGTGAGACGTACTCTGTCCTTGATCCCCCAGGCATTAGCCAGTGGTGTGGCCAAGTACCTAAAACAGCGCAGAGTTCAATTGCTTCGCTCTGCGTTTTGGGATTTCTAAACATTGCTTAAAGCTTGTGCAACATAATCCGGGTGTTCTGAAACCAAATGACTGCATAGCTAAACTTTGAAACACAACTGTATTTACTGACATGATGTAATGTCTTGCCTTTCAAAGAGGTATCTGACAAGAAGTAGGCAGAGAGCACAGGGCAAGGCACCATAAAGGTGAGATGCTTTGGCATATATACAATCTTCTCTGTCGTCTAGATCTGACCAGGAAAGGTTTCCTGGCAGCCACAAACGTTCCCACCACAGCCAGTCATTGACTGTCTGCAACATGGTACTAAAATGAGAAAAACCTTAGTTAAAAAAACACACACACACACACACGCACACACACACACAATCTAAAGCAATCTGTTTGATATTCAAGCATTTTGATTATTTCACCCTCACAAATGTTGAACTTGAAACTAGAAAGATCCACAAATTTAAAGGCACAAAAAAGAACAATAGTTCAATAATAATTTAACTTGTTAAAGACACAGTTTAACTTTTACATAAGTAAACACACTAAATCTGTTTAAGCCTAAACAGATTTAGTCTTTTTACCTTACCTTTATGAATATAGATAGATAAAAGCTTTATTGATCCCTTTGGGAAGGTTCCCTTAGAAAAATTACAATTCCAGCAGCATCAAAAATACAGATTAATCTAATAAGACTGAGATATAGCATTACAGAAAATACAAATAAGTTATCTATGATCCGTCAATGGTTTAGATCATAGACAGATCTGTTGACCAAAGTAGGCTAAAATGACAGAAAACTCCATATTAACATGTCCATATTGAAAATAAAGTGCACACCAGGCTGACTGGTTTGCAGAAACAGCTATTGCTTCGGTCGAAAAAATTAACTGCAAAAAAACAAGCTGTAGACCAGCAGGTGAGAGAGAGGCAAGTCTAATGGAGATGGAGAACTGAGGTAGATATCAAAGGGCAAAAAGACGGCTGAGGGACAATTCATTGAGACAGAGATTAAAGACCAAGTGATGTGGACTTTGCCCATTTCAAAGTGCAGATAACGTGTACGTGAGCAATGCAAGCTATCATAAAATGTGTAATCAAAGCTGCTCGGATCAATGTTGAAAATGACAACTTATTGTTCTCAAATGTACCCAGTGAGATAGCCTAAACCACTCCAGCATGTCTCTGAGCCTCAAAGGTAGTTAATTAGTCCGCATGGGAAAATGCTTACATACCTGCAGGCAGCGTTGTCTTGACAAGTTCCAACAGATGAGAGGAAGGCTTAAGCAGACAAAATGTGTGATTAAGTCAGAAGAATATAAATAAATCCCTTATAATAATATATAAGTTCCTCCACTTTGTCTTCTCTTTGACAATTAATCTTAAATTCCAGGTCCTCAACTGCTGTAACATCCCTTCTCACTAGCCAGCTAGACAAGACATCAGTGGAGGTAAATGTATGGTTCAGTCATGCATAAGTGTTGACAAACTCACCCTTAATCCGCCCAATGCAAGCAATGCTGGGTGTTTTCCAGAGACCTGCTTGGGTGAAGCCAATCTGTTACTCATAGAGTTTATTTATACATTCATTGCACTTATCAGTTCTGAGTAACAGTACTGTAGGATTCTTTGTGTTTTGATCCGTTTTCTTTTCTGAAGCCGCTCCACAAGATAAAAGTTCAAATTCAGAGAAAACAAATATTAGCTCTTTAGGCAGTACTTTTCCTGATCTCTACATTGTGCCTGGCTGTTTGATCAGGCTTCACCTGAACATATTGAGTTTAAGCCATGTGTGTTATCACTCACCTGGTTAGAAAGACTGAAATCCTTCTCTCCCACTTGGTCTGCTCTTGTGTTCACACCCTTTTCATTGTTGCTGATTGTTCAAGATTAGGAACTGGAAACTGCTAGCTGCCCTTGGAGTATTTTGCATTTTTAAAGCTTTAAATGCAAAACGTCAGCAGTCAACTGCGTGTGGGATTGTCTGCCTACCCTCACCTGCAAAAATTCCCTTGGAATGTTGAAAAGCCCCCACAAAGACCCCATTCAGTGGTGGGGCAAAGGAGGAGGAGGAGGAGGAGCCATGAGAGAAATACGAACTCTAACACCAAAGATAAAGAGTGGAACATCACTCTTCAGAGATAGCTTGCTCAGTTAATAACAAACATATAAATACAGATAAAGTGCCTGGGAGGTTTCCAGATTATCAGCCACTCTATTTCTGTGAGCAACATTGTATTTCTAGTATTTCCTTTCAGTTATTTCCGTAAATCTTTTGTGATTATGTGAGAAAACATGAAAAATGGGAAACTTTTCGTGAAATACAAGGGGAAATGGCCAGGTCCTGGTACATGCGAGCTAATGACTTGTTTTGTTTTTCACCAGGCATCAGAAGGGGGCGACAGAGACTAAAAGGACCTGTATCAGTTTACAGACTATCACAATAACTCTGTCACAGTCTAGTGGCGACATTTTATGGATGTTGTGTCATTGCAGGTCTTATTATAAGTTAGTTGAATATATATATATACATATAAACATATGCATAGATACACAAACAGCACCAACATTTTTGCTTCAGTGAACTCAAAATGAAGAACAGATATCAAAAATATGTTATCATTTTATTGGAATTTTACATCCTTTATATATCAAAACCTCTAAAAACAAACAGTAGAGCTACAAGCATATCTGCTGATTCTACCTGTGATCTACATGCTGTCATCTTCCTCTGGTCTACATGGCAGCACTGCTGCATGTGTGAGAACTGAACAGAATTAAAAAAAGAAAAGAAGATAACAGTAAATGACACAAGAGCAGTGGCTATTAAGATGTGGCTGTGGGCAAAATGAACACACGCGCACACACACGCACGCACTCACACAAAAAAACAATGCCTCCTCCCAAAAAGGAAAAGTAAAAAGAGTCAAAGTGTGGTCTTTGCTGTTCATAGCAAAGAGGGGTTCTGAGTAGTCTTTCTCTGAAGTGTCCAGGCTCAACCACTGAGAAGTATAAATATTGGTATAAATGACTGTATATGTTTGAAGAATACAAGGATAAAAATTAGGTCCATTTCAAATGGTTAGTTTGTGTTTGGACGCGGGTAGATGCAGATAGGGGAGGCAGCAGGGGAGATGTGGCCCCAGGCACATAACGGAGAGCTTCATTTGGATAGTCCTCCCCCTCCCTCTGCCGCCCTCTGTCGACTCCTCCCTGTCTTGCTGGGCAGTTCCTCATACTGCTGTGTTGTTGCGCTTCAGCTCGCTGGGTGAAGGTGGGATGCGGTCCCCAAGCTTTGTAAAGCTGGTAGAATGGCTAGGCTTTTGGGTGGGCCCCTCAGAATCGGGTGCTCTCGCTCGTGGAGGCAGGGTGGCGCACCGGGCTTTGCCTCTTGAGCGTGGCAGCTGAGGGGGGGGGCCTTTTAACATAAAAGGTTCACTTGAGGCTTGGGGCTGTTGGGCCAATGGCTGCTGTGAGGACGATGGTGATGTAGAGGAGTGCGGGGTGGGAAACGGGGTGGCTGACGCCGATGAGGAAGAGGCCAGAGGAACGAGGGGAATGAGTGCGGCCTGCTGCTGGAACCGTGTGAGGCTGGTGGAGTGGCTGGGACGTGGCAGACTGTAACAGGCCTCAGCCCCTCTGTGGCGGGAAGGCAGGGTGGAGCAGCGGGACTTTGCTCTTTGGTTTGCCTCTCTGGGAGGAGGAGCAATTAGTGAGAAGCTCTTTGTTTCAACATCTAATGATTCAGTTCTGGAGCTCTTTAGACTCTGGGACGATCCTCTTCTAGACGAAGGATGTGACTGAGACTCCTTTTCTTTCTGATGATCTTGTTTGGACTCTGAGCGCGGAGGTCCAGTATCAACAGACGTGCTCAATGGGGGCTCTTCATCTGCATAATAAAATACAGAAAAGCAAAACATAAGTGAGACTGACTCCATCTACAACATGATAATCAATAGGGCCCGAGCATCAATAATCATATCAAGAGTGAGAACAGCAACATATTGAAATTGTGTGATGAGGCAAGAATTCTTCTTTTCTCACCTAGCAGGCCCATCTCACCCATGAAGGAGTCCAAATCTACAGTGAAATTCTCCTCAGCTGCCTTTGCTTCATCTTCATTTTCATATCCCTTTCCTTGTTCTTGTTCTTCTTTTTCTTCTTCTTCCTTTTCACCTCCTTTTTCATCCTCTACCTTCTCTTCTCCATTTCCTTCTATTTCTTTGCCTTCTGACTCTTCAGCTTCATTACCTCTTTCATCGCCACACTCCTGTGCTCCTGTTCCTTCAACATCTTCAGCTGAGTTCTCCACCTCTGGATCGCCGTCATCACAACACTTCGGTTCATCTAAATTGATCTCAACTCTCACTTCTCCCTCCTCCTCCTCCTCCTCCTCCTCCTCCACTTGGCCCAACTCTGCCTCTTCTGAAGGAGCATCCACCACAATGTCTATGCCGGCAGAGAAGCAGGGGGTTTTGCTTTTTGCGGAGTGGGTTTTGGCACATGCTTCTTGGTCTTGATTAAGCAAAAATTCCATCAATGCCATATTGTCTTTTTTTAGCTGTTCCCGTAGGGATCGTGGTACATCTGGGATCATCCAAGCAACCAGCATGCTGAGGAACATGGCAAGGTTCTGTCGAAAGAGGAAATAAAACAAGGAAAGGAAAGGTGTGTTTCTTTTTATTGTTCTGGGGGTGACTTAAATTAAAATGACCTCTTTTGCAAACCCTTTTTTATACCTGAAAGAATATTACAAAGGCCAGTCTTGCAGCCAGGACAGACCAGTACTGTTTGGAGAAGGTGTAAGCATCTGAACCCCATGGTGGATCTCTGTAGTCTTTATACCTGAGAAAATAATATTGAGAAGCAAGGGGTTACATAAATGGGCATGGCTGAATGGAGACAGAAAAAATGTCTAAAAGAAAAAGACTGGCCACAAGTAAGAACCTGCAGTCCATGAAACATTTTACAGTAAAGAACGGGTTAATTTTCTGGCTAAGGGATTTCAATCAGGATCCAGGTAGATCAAGGGTATGAGAGCCTCTCTGACCTGCACATGGTCACTCCTGTAATGAGTGTTGTGGTTGGTGCTGTGCCAGGAGTGAAGTTGCTGACGTTAAAGTAGGAGAGCGAGTGCTCCGTGTAGCCGCTCATGGTGCCATTCACACTGTACATATACTGGTAGACCATGCGTGGAACAAATTCTGAGGTGAATGATATCACGAAAGCCTGAAATGAAGAACATGGAAATGAAACCCTAACATTCTACATCTCCAGTTACTGCACGCACACCAGCTTAACTGATGAGTCACTTGTGCTGTGGGGGACAGTAAGACTCACTTGTCAGATTTGTTCAAGGGATTTTGTCACCTCTTTGTAGGGAACAAACACACCAAACTTACTTGCACAATAAAGTTAGAAAGAAATGTATTTTATAACAATTCATTAATATGGTTTATTTTCCTGGTATAACAAAGATGTTGCTGCAGAAGTTGAACAAAAGCATACTGTTTTTCACTAAGCAAACACTTCTGCTTGGGATTAAATGTCTCACACAGGAAAGACAATAACAAACAAACGCACACCCACACACACACTTACATTGGTAATTACAGAGAACTTGCTGATTCCACAGAGAAAGTTGTACCAAATCCCTGCAGACAGGATGTGCATGAAAAAAGACAAATAGGGAAAGAGAAGCGTGTGTGTGATTGTAGAGTGCATGAAATGGAGGGTCAGAGAGGAGTAAAGAAAATTACAATGATTAAAAGTTACATGATGGATTGTTTGCATTCACACAGAGGCAAAGATGACTTGTTGTCGTGTGTAATTCGTACCTATGTCTTTACATCTCACAGCATCAGGCCGTCGGATCTCAGTGACAAATTTTGATGCATCAAGGCGAATCTCAATGACATTGTTGAGTAAAGCAAATGCAGGTGCCAGAGGGAAGGAAGCCACGAATAGAGATACAAATCCATACTGGATTACTGTATATAGAAAGACACATCAAGACAGCATTAAAATCAAATAGAATCTCCATAATAATAAAAGAATAAATAATAAGTGGGTAAGAAAGAGACTCACTCATTTCCATGTATTCTGGACTGACACCTTCAAAAGGTTCAAGTGCAAAATCTTTGTCAAACTGTTGCTTTGGTCTTCTCTCCTCTGTTTCATTATCTTCATTCTCTCCAGCTCTTTTCATTCCTTTTTGCTCCTGTATTGTTCTGTACATCTTTTTCATCTTCCTAAAAACAGAAAACATAAATTAGAGGGAAGCAGATTAAGGGGAAATTCATTTAAAAAAAAAATGTTATTGTATAATCTCTCTGAATATCAGCATATACGTACGGTATGACAATTTCAAAGACATTGTTCTGAATGAGCTGCTTTCCGAGCATAATCATGCTTAGTTGGATGCACAGTTCAATGAGGCAGCCTGGAGGAGCACACTGTGAATTACAAAACACAGCTTTAACTAAAAGAAAGATACTCAATTCCCGAACATATACACAATCAAAGACAACAATCAGTTTTCTGTATGGCAGTGCCCACCTCCTCCATGCGATAGCCTCCAAAGACGTAAACATTATCACCGGGCCGCCCAGCAAATCTTTTTAAAATGAAGACCAAAGCCAAAGTTTTAAGAATTAAGCCATACAGCAGGTTACATTTTATGAAGAAAGAAAATAAATACACACCTGCCCTTGAAGAAGGCAACATAGAAAATAGGTGCAAAGGCGTTCATGGATTTGAGGAAGAAAGACTTAAAAATGAGCCTCTCTTCAAACTCTTCCTCTGTCTTAGGAAGCTCTGTTGGAAAGAGAACAGACACAACGAAAAAAACGCATCATCAGTTCCACACATTCTTTCATAGTTTTGTGTTTTACTCTCAGTGAGTGGCCATCATAAAACCTACTAACTGCTTTTGTATGAAGTGTGTATTTAAAGGAGCATTTAAAACATAAACTGGACCAAAAATGATCTTGTTGAATTACGACATTGTTACAAATCTTATCTTGCTAACATGGGAGAGCAAACACCACTATGAAATGAGTTCCTTAATACGACCAACCCAAACAGTGAGACAGGCAGTCTATTTGTTGCCTGTCAACAAACTTGAGTGTAGCTCTGCTAACTGTGCTGCAGTTGTTATACTCACTCCAAACACTGCAGGACTGGATGAATACATCTCTACATGTACAGCTGTAGACTGTACATTTCACTACCACATTCTCTATCCAAATCAACATCTTTCTCACAAAAAAGTCTACTTTATCTCTTTGTGATCAAAGCTTCATTTTCTGATTGGACTAAATAAAGTACCAAGCTCGGTCAGCCACACTGCAATGGCTCCGTAGACTTCTTCCAACACCAGAACGACCAGCATGTTGAGGATGATCCCTGTGGTGGTGACTGTCATCCTCACACTGGCCTTGGCTTCAGGGTCAGGGTTCATGGACCACACACTTAACATGCAGATACGATAAACTACCACTCCAAAGACTGCTGAGCAGGTTACGAAGATCTGATTCGCACAAAAAAAAAGAAAAGAAAAAAGGTTCAGTCCAGTTGCTTATGATGCTTAGAATATATTTACATGCAGCATTTGCAAATATGCAAATATTCTGTTCTATGATTTATACTAATTTCATCAGTTTATATCCCATGCTTAACACTTTATGTATGAACCACTTATTTGGAGTCTATAGTGTTAAAACTGTATGTTAATGTAAAGAATTCTAATAATCTATGTCAGTAAATTAACAAAGATTATGAAGATGGGCAAAACAACTGAATAAATCATGAAAATAACATTAATGACCCACTCCAAATGTTAATCCACCTGATCCCCCTGTTAATCGTTTGATTAACAGGGGGATCAACAGAGACAGATGGCAAGTAGAAAAGTGAGAATATGAAGAGAGCATGGATGCGGTACCAGCAGAAGCAGGGTGGACACATTGATGAGATAGCCTGACAGGTGATCCTCAAGGTCAAGTGATTCTGGCTCTTCCTGTGAAGGTAACATAAAAAAACATGCACATTACTGTGCTGCACTGGAAGAGGACACATGGACACAACCCCACCTAAATGCTTCAGGGCACGGCGGTTTGTGACGAGCTGTAATGCCGAGCACATCTTGTGCAAACACATACACAGATGCCATGTTAATGATGTGGCAGGTGCATGTTTGCCATCTGAAAGGACAGAAATCTCCTCCCCTTCTTCATCTCCCTCCTCCCCTTTCAGTCTCCATCAGTAATCTGAGCTAATCTCAGGCAGGTAAGCTGCTTTGGACTCAACCACACACAGGTGAAGGGGGGTTATTATGTGCCAACATAAACTCATACACACAGAATACACATACGTCATTTATGAAAAAGTTCAGCGGTACCAGTACCGAAAAATATGAAAAAAACTAAAATGTCTCAATTTCAAGACCAGATAATAAAGTAAATGAGTAAATTAGTGTTTTTTGTAATTCCCCAAGCAGCTCTATCCACTTAGAGCATTTCCAGAACATGGCGATGATACCTGGGAAGCCAGCATCTGGTCGGTTTCTCCGTCTGTACCATCCCCTGCTTGAGTCAGCTAAAACAGAGAGTAAAAACCATCCGAATGAAAGTACAATATGTATAGACTAGTTGTAAACTACAATAGTCAAGCAACACTAGAAGGTACCTTCTTTTTTGCTTGTGCTTTAATCTTAGCTTTTTTCTCTTGTAGTGCCTCTTCATATTCAGGCCTCAGTTCATCCTGTAATACACACACACACAGACACACACACATATCAATTTAAAGTGAAAATATTTGAATGTTCCAAATCTTACCTGTATTATAAATCCTTATGACGTATTATGTTAAACCTTTTTATATTTATCTATAGCTTCATGCTGTGCTGGTTTCAGTTGTGGTTGTATATCCACTAAAAATATCCTTTTTGTCATCCAATCAGGAAGGTAAAGACAATACTCTGTAAAAATCTAAACCTGTATAATTTTGAGATAAATTCATATGTGGCTTTAAACATCTAACTCGAAATTGTGCATTTTGGTTATATAACACATATGGAAACATTTTTAGAATTCAAAGAAACACTGTGTCTCAAATCCAATTCGTCGAAGGGGGAAAATATTTATCAGAATATATTTCCCACCTGGACTCGCTCCTTCAGCCAGCAGAGAGGGACATGAAAGATAGAAAGAAGAGAGAAGAACACATAGCTGCGTGAGACTATGATCGTTTGAGTTGCGACCCCGCTGTGTCATCTTATCTAACAAGTGGCGTTTAAGACCGGTCCAATCCCATTACAGCCCTTCACAGAGTTAATACATGTATACATAGATGGCCACCAGTATTTTCTTTCTTTAGCTCAGAGGGCATGGACAGATGAAAATAATCTGGGAAAACCATAACAGTCATCATGACGGACCTGAAGCATGATATACTCCTGACTAATCACTGGCTTGGGATGGAAATTTGAAGTGTAAATGCTAGATTTTCAAACGACATGAATAAAATCATGCAAATTTTTTAAGCACCTATCCTGAGATGCTGCTAAGAAGATGCAAAGTTGGTATTCCTGAATCTATTTACATACCTCCTCATCCTCTAAGCTGGTCAGGTCCCAGGTATGTTTCAGACACATCTGCCTCCTCTTCCAGTGCTCAAGGAAACACGCAGCTGCAAGACAAAGACACACAAATGAGCTGCTAGAAAATGACCGGCGTTAAAACTAAAGACTGTAATTGAACAGGGAATGTCCTGTGTAGTGACACCGAAGCGGGCAAAGCCATACAACTGTACTGGTTAAACACAATCATATTTGCATTTGTCTGGGAATGATTTCCTCACTGTAGCGGCTTTAAGGTAATAGCTTGATGTTATATTCATCATGGTAACATTGACGTTGTTGTTACAAGTTTAGTATTATCTCAGGCAACTGATTCCCCCGCCCAATCATCTTTTACTATCAAATCATCTTAGAGAAACATTAGCTGTCAGTTTTATTGCAAGCCAGCCAATACATTGTGAAGCTCTCACTGTGTGCTATTAATATGGGGCTAAATTTGGACCGCACTGCCTTTGATACTACCGCTCAAAAACCTCTATGAAATTACATAATTTCTACAGTAAATCCCTGTTTAGTCTTCTCCTGTGTAGATGGGCTGTCTCCTAACAAACACAAGCGGGATTAGGAGCAATGTTAAACTGGTACGACAGAGGGAACGAATCAAAAAGTCTCCACATGCATGTAGAGCACAGAATTAAAGGTATAGATTGCTACTGAAGGGAGGAAGCGTGCAGCCACCTCTGAGATGCAGCATGTTGTAGATCTTATCAAAAGAAGCACAACAACTGTTTACACTGTTGACCCAGGGTCACTTAAGAAAAAAAGAGAAGTGCAGAGTGTAAATCCTCACTCTCTGCTTATAAACCGTCCACTTGGGATTTGTAATCCGGGTCGCACGGATTTGAAAACAACTTCTGTCTTCGAACAAAAAGGAATGGCGTGCGTGCGGGAGCTGCTGCTAAAGTGTTTTCCATGCAGTACGTATGCGCTCCACAATCTTTCTGCAGCAAACATCTGGCTCCCACTTTTACCATTTTATCCTTTTTATGTAGGCTTTGACTTGATTTTTCTCTTTTAGGACAAGACCGTGTCTTATCCACTTGAGTTTGAACCATTCGTTGCAATATTCAGCATTTTTCTTTTTCAGGGTTTTATCGAGTATTTTTTAAGATGCAGCACTTTAAGACTTAGATTTTGCGATTTCAAAATGCTGAAGAGAATTCTTCTTTCTCATGTATTTGATATACCTGAGTTAACAGTGAATCATTTAAATATATTAATGACTGTGAGCCCTGTCTTTGTTCTGGAGTTCTCTGACTGAAGTAACTGTACTTGCTGTCATACTATGAAGGAAGAGTGTATAGTTACCCCACAGCGACATGAAAATAGCAAAGAGGACAGTAGCTCCATTGTCAAACAGGTATGAAGCCCGGGCCAGCGAGCACACCGTACTCAGACGCCAGTAGTCACACACTGCATCGCACAGTGGACACATTGTGATGTTCAGGTTGTCGTCACATGTTTCCTGACTGAAACACACCAGCAAAAAACTCATACAGATATCGAATTCTTTCAAATTTGAATTCTTCGATAGTCTGCTGTTAATCTAATGAGCACATACAAATTGGAAGCGAGTGCATACCTTGGCACATTGGTATCCACAGTAAATATGCCATACAGAAAGACAATGATGCCCAGGACAGACGGAGGGATGAGAAGCTGAGTATACACACCCAGCCAGGCAAAATACAACCCAATCTGCTCTCCAAAGTACTTTCTGTAAACACAGAGATTCATATTTAAGCCACATTCAAGCCACTTTAGACAGTGAAAACTATATTTTGAATTCAAGGCTGAAATATTATTAACATTAATAATAATTAATCATCATTTGTAAAAGATTGGGAAGTACATAAGACCTAATGAACCCCGCGGCATCTTATCTGTGATAATCAAGTAATCAATTTTGCTTCTCTGTCAAGCCAGAGAAATCACTTTGGTATGTATCGGTTTGACAAACACAGCATTCACAAACTATGCAAGAAATGAGCTGAGTTCTGCATTCAATAGAACATACCTGATCAGGTCGACAGGCTGATATTTGAACATGGATCCATAGTTGGCCCATTCTTCATGAAGGACCTTGAGTATGCACAAATACATTAATGGGAGACCAACCACGAGTTCAGCTCTATGAGGTGGTGTGTGAATTCATAGAATGATGTTAATTGTGAAAGCCTGTCCTGTTTTGAATGGCCCAGAACAGACCAATAACTAATGCATTTAAAACTGTTTGCCCCCTCAAACAATTACTCCATTAAGTGCTTCCTGCCAGTTACATGAAAATAGTTCAGCAAAATATTTTAAAAAACCTTCATTAAACTCACTTGTCTGTCATTGCGCTGATCTTTCCTTCCTCTCCTTGTAAATGAACCCTAAAGGAAAAAAAAGACAAGTTTGCTGTTGGCAGGAAGCTGCTCTTACCCCTGAACTGCCAAAATGAACTTTATGATACAGTTAAGTTATGAACTTCAACTTTTGAATTAAAATCCAAACAAGTCGTATGAGTTTATTGTCAAATTAAGGTATTGTCTTTGTCCACTCACATCGTGTAGAGGAAAGGCAGAGTCGTAAACCCCCTGAGCTAGTAGTGAGCTGATGCCTGATGACATGAAAAGGGAATGTAAAACATAGTTTGGTTTGAAACCAGCCACATTGGCAAAGCACACATCAACCTGTCATTATTTTTTGGTGAAATATTAGGAAAACTAAAACAATAAAAGTTCAAACACACCTGTGGTTTGGCAAGTTCGTGTGCAGGTAGTGCGTGAAATAATTTCTGCGACCTAGAGGCATGCGTAACAGGGTAATAAAACATTAGGTGAGCTCAACTCTATACAGGACAAAAGGTTTGTGGCATTTACTCTACAGAAAAAAATAAGGAAGACTTTTCCGGTGTACTCACAATTCTGCTCCGCGTTGCATTGTCAAACAATGTTGCTGTTGACTTGATGTCATACCTGAAGGAAAGAATTTGATGTTTGTCCAAGTACGGCATATGTTGGGGAATTTTGAGAAGTTTAATATGTGTGAGTGCCTCACCACACTGACACAGATAATGATGGATTAGGATTTACTGTGGATATTAGTGTGTTATCTTGCTCAGAATATACCGCGGAGATGGTTTCACTTTCTGTGTGACAGCCGAGTACTCACAGGTGGAGCTTGTCTCTGATGAAAGGGTGTTTGAGGGTTTTGAGCTGAACATGTGACTTTGAGTCTTTGTGGATTTCAAGTTCAGGGACGTCAGGTTGAAAGGGTCTGTTCAGTACAGTGACGACGGAATCCAACATTCCAGCAATGCCTGCTCGTTTCCGCAATTCACATTTCTATTGAAAGAAATTATATTTGAGACACGGTAGCTTCATCCCATCCCAAAGGTGCCCAACACTCATCTTTACAAATAGTGAAAAAAACATATATAAAGCAGCGAACATCCACTACCACAGTGAAGAAAATCACCTACCTTTTTGACAGGGACTTTTATTTTCTGCAGCTCAGCTTCTCGGCTCAGTATTGACCATGGGATGTGCAGTCTAATAAACCTTATGCCAGTTGACCTCTGTATACAAAGCAAGTGAAAGGAAATCTTAAAACCAAAATGCACATTTAACATAGGCTTCCTGCAACACTTTAAAATGAGGGACCAAGTTTTCACTGGTAATCAGGGAACAACAATTTCATAGTCTGTGAATTTTCAATAATCTGCAGTCATTCCTAAAGATAATTGTCAATAGAGATAAATTAGGGAAGAACAGGTCGAGAAATTATGCACTAATGGATTTTTAAGTAATAATTATTCAGTGGGTGTAGTTCATGATTACTTTCAAAATGATTCCAGATTAACTATGAAGTAGCCATATTACACAGCATGAGTGATGTATTACTATTTACTTCAACATGTATTCCTGTTGTTGTTATAACAACGGACTATTGTTAGAACATGCTGCTCATATGACAGAAATTAATGCATTAATCTAATAATTAGATTGCAGTTTGTTTTAATTCAATCCTTATTTATACCACAGCTTTCTTGAGAAAACTTTGAATTGGAATGATCACCTTGAGGCAGAAAATATAAAACTCTTACATGTCAAATCAAACATTGAACTGGACCTTGCAAGTCTTTCGTAATAAGCTTGCACATTATTTTTCATGTTGTCAATGTTTATTTTTCCTTTAAAATAGTCCTGATCATCACAGTGCTTCATGTCTCAATAGTTTTTGGGGATGACACAAGACTTCTTTTATTATTTTACACTGAATTTAAGTCTGTTTTGATCATAGTTCTAAAATGCAGTTCAGAGTTATAATGAGACTCTTTAGTATAAAATTAAGTCATCTGAAGGACACAGTCAGCAAAGTTAAAAAAACTGCAGCTAAAAACTATCAGTTCTGATCATCTGTAAAGATCATCTGTAAACTATGAGCTTCCCTCCAGACTGTTCATTTAATACGTGATTCAAACTCAGAAATCACAGTCACACACTCCTGCTTTATATAAAACGTTCTGAGCAGTTTTTCAGCGACTGTAATGAACAGGAACAGACCCCTTAGACTTCCCCATATCTTACAGCTCATTATACCTTCAACCGAGACAGAATACGATTATCTTGTCACAGACTATGTATGCTATACACATAATCTATACACATGGTTATGGAAGGAATTATTCTGTAGTATGTCACATGCCTTTAATACACGCCCAGTGTGCTTCCCTCTAAACATTTGATATAAACTATGAAACCAAAAGAATTTCAATAAAATGAGTTTCCAGTGAATCCGAATTGGAAGCTATTGACTGTTTTAATATGTGGCTACTAAAGCTTCATGAATAAATACACCAGGTATTTTATTCATGAACCGAAAAAGCAGCCACACAGTGTAAAAGTGATTATTGCACACAATCAGCCATAGACACACAGGCTTGGGTTTTGCACAGTGTAGAAAACCACACAAACACAGGCTTGCACATAGATAAGCACACACAGCTGAATGACATACAGAAGAAATACATACAATATACTAATGGTGTTATTTGCAAAGGTAAAGGAAGTAGATACACACCTCCTTGTCTCGCTCAATCTCAAGTCCAGCCTCCAGCAGTCCGGCCTCAAACTCATCTCTCATTGAAGCCTTTTCCTCCTCGGACAGCTTTGACTCTTCTGCATCCCCTGCGGCCGCACCAGCCTCACCAGGCTCTGCTTCTACTTCCAGACGACTTGGCATGGATATTGGCACACTCCCATTGGACACGATTGAGAAACGTTTAGATGACCGGTTCTTTTTGTTTTTGTAGCAAAGAACGTAGTCCACTTTTTTCTTTCCATCAGCAAAAAATAGTCCAGGTCCTATTTCAGTGCCAGAGTCCTACAAGAGAATAATACAATGGCAAAACAAAGTGTGGTGAGTTGATTTCTATTGCATAGAAAAAGTCTGCTAAATTCAATGTCTGCCAGGAGCAGAAATTAGAGCTGAGAAAGGACATGTTGTTGTTGATATTAGCACTGAGAAACAGCCCTACCAGCGGCGGAGGCTCTTCACTTTCAAGAGGGCTGACGGGCCCTCCATTAGCTGCATCGAGTCCAAACCCGGACAAAGATCGGGCCAATGAGACAAGCGTCGCTGAGTGAAAGGACGATGACTCACTCATTGCTGTGGTGAAGGATATACGCTCTTTTTCGTTTCATCCCTCTGATGGAAAAAGAAAGGCAAAACAGAAGTTCAGCACTGATGATTTGGGAAGACGTATGCTGCTAATCTTTCAATGAATCTCTGAATATTTCATGTGTGCTGTCCCTGAATTAATGCTGATTCAAAATTATTTCATGGATAAACAGCACATCAAATTTTGGGATATTACTTAAAATCATATACTTGACCAAATCAGGACTTGTTAAACAGACACAGAATGTTATGAAGATCAAGAATTATCTTGAAAATCTCAACAGTAAAAGAAAACTATGAAGAAAAGGTATCCATATAAAAGAATCTTGCACTTTTTTGTCACATCGGTGATTGTCACATTAAGCTATGCACATATAATCTTAATATTTGTGTGAGAAAAAACAGTGGTAGCTTGGCTGACACATCAAATTTAAGCCAAAGTTAAGCTGTCTTGTCACTGCTTTTTCACTCAGTTGAAGCTGTGGGCTCAGATTAAGCACACACAGAAATCCAGGCGGCACAGTTTACAATCTGTTGGGGTAAATTGGTCACTGGGCTCATTCTTTGGGGCCGAGGGAAAAAGTGGTAAGTGATGATGGAGTGGTTAAGTTTCCCTACATTTCACACACATCCAAAGTGCCACATCTCCCTCCAGAGAGGAACTATGGAACATAGCTAAATCTATGTTCCAGTCTTGTGACTGTTTATCAAGCCACTAAAATAAAGTTACTGCATTAATCAAAAAGTAGCATGATAAAGATAAAGACTTCTCGCCTAAACAGCAGCACCAAACTTTGAGCTGGCCTCAGCCCATCCATTCACACCAGGCCCATTTTGACTTTTGAAATTCTAAAGAATTTGCTCTTTTGTTTGTGATTTTAGTGAAAACTCCATTTCTGGTAGCTCAATAAAGGCAGAATACACCATTTTGGACAACAAAAAACAATAGGCATGGAAAACAAATTATGCTGAATTAGGACCCGGACACAGCCTCATTTTAGAAAATAGTCACTCATCTCCTGCACATCTCACAACAAAACAAAAATAATACACATCCATCCATCCATCCATTATCGTAACCGCTTGTTCCCTAATGGGGTTGTGGGGGAACTGGAGCCTATCCCAGTAGTCAAGGGGTACACCCTGGACGCTCCGCCAGTCCATGGCAGGGCCAAATAATACACAACTTGTTTCACAATAGAAAACAGCACATCTAAAAAACAGAAAGATTTCCAATTCAATATATGTTGCACCTTTTCCTTTTTTTCCTTCAGTTTTTTGTGAAGATTTGTTTGTTTTGTGCAGAGGCGTTCACATATTTCCTCTATTCTCTGAAATTTTGTGAAATGCTGTTTTCCTGTTTTTTCTGTTTTGTTGGCGGGTCTATATGCTCTTCTTTTGTGTGTTTGGTTATGTCGATGTGCTAAGTCAGCAGAGGGGTTGTCACTCAGCGTCTACCCTTTAAAATGGTAAAAAAGCTTCATGCCTAAAATGCTCTGCATATACTACACACACAATGGTCCCACAATGGATTTGAACATGCTCTGCCCACCTGACACACTGAGGAAAGCCCCCAGACATGTAAACAAACCAACAGCCAACCTAACTTTATGTTGACAACATGCAAAGTGCTTTAAGAAGCAATCTCCTTATTCGTGGGCACCAACATCCATGATAATCCCAATTAACCAAGCATTAGCAGGTAAAGACTAAAGATGGAAATGGAGAATATTGGCTGCCTTAAGTTCAACCTTTAACTCCTGATGACACAGCACTACCTGAATGAGTGGTTGAAACCAGTTATATTGTGGGTCCTTTTCAACTAAGTGAGGTGCTGTTTGGATATCTTCAAACAATAAAAATAAATTCATATTCTCATGAAGTGCAGGGATGTTCTATACGTACTTTGAAGTTCTCATCCTGCATATTCCTTGTGTTTCCGTCATTCTGTCTCTTTAAATACGCCAGTTCTGGTAAGTTGGAAGGCTGTTTCCAAACTGGCAAAGTTTCCTATGACTCATTATTTGGAAGCCAAAGATGGCACTAAATAGGTGTTATGCAAGCATGTTTCATGGTGACGAGTGATGGACTGTGAGTTTTTGTCTTTTCTTGGTTTATTACTTGCTCTAAGATTGTTTTTTTCTTAATCGCTGTTTATTTTTGTACAACTTGTTCCTTTGGAATTTGGTTGAATACTTCTTTGTTGCACTTGGGATCCCTTGCCAAACGCCTTTATGTGTAATCATAGATATCTCTTGCCTCTGTGATAGTCCAGTCATACTTTCATTTGCAGTGCACATCTTTCCTAGGTAGGGCCTTTCACATATTTAGATAAAATCTTTCTCATTATTGCCTGTCCTCACCTCCTTCCTTTGGAAGCCATTATCTTTTTCATCAACCTCAAGTTCCTCCACAATAACAGGGACATTTTAGGGTGAGATAAAAAGTCCCCCAACTGTACATGCTAGATCAAACAGAGCTTTACGTACCACTAATCACTCTTTCCTTACTTCATAGCTGTTTGTAAAATGGAGTGCTTTTCTCTCAAGCTAGGATGTCGGAATCAAGATATCGGTGTTGACAAAAGCTTTTGAAAAAGCCAGGATAGTTTTTAATATTCAATAGTTTACCATTGGCGATTGGTTTTAGTTGATTAATCTGATCTAAATTATAACTACTGCTAATACAACCTTTTTATATTCTGCTGATAATATTTTATGAAAGATGTTCCTGTTTGCCGTAGCAAATTAGGGCTCTGTTCCTCAATGTATTTAGACTAACTATGATGATCATGATAATAATAATCATTCTCATTAAATAAACAAATAATACACTGAGTGACTCAACCCGATGGAGGGTTCCAACTAAAACTCCTCTCTCATTTGCATTTATCCTCACGTTCCATGTGTGGAGAATTACTCACTGAGCTTATTAGTCATGATACCTTTGTGTCAGTGGCTGATACCCTTGCTGCTTTCATTAATGTTTACATTACCCATGTAAATCACTGCTTCTGATTTTTTTTATGCAAAAGTTTAAATCAAGCATGTACCAGAACTGCTCTGACAGGTTCTTATTCCATAAAATAATCTCTGCAGCTGAGGCCAAAATCAGGTTCCGTTAATCATGTTGTTTGCAAAAGCATGAGTTACTTACAACTTCAAGAGGGAAATAAATCAGTTGGATGAAAAATTAAAACATTGTAACACTGTGGCTATGACAATTTACAGTTAAATGTGAGACAAACACAAACTACTGCCTCATTTGCATTTCTATCCTCTTGTTTTGGGTTTCCTTGATCTTTGGTGAGCAAGAAACCATCCAGGTTGAATATTCTTTTCATAAATTGCGCTCATCTCATTTGATGATGCAGATCTTGGCCAAAAACAGGTGTTTTTCTTCCTTCCTTACAGGCTATTTTGTCTCCCCTCTAAGATTTAAATTGAAAGCGTGTGTGCCTGGGCGCGGGGCTTAAAAGCCTGTAAGCTTGCTGTCAGCTCAACGACCGACGCTGGAGGGTCAGCTACACCCTCACTCAAACGGGGCAGCTGCTATAATGCTGCACTCCTAAAATACAGCAGATTACATAGCACTAATTCTAACAGCTTCTTTTTTCTTTCTCCTAATTTAACAGCAAAACACTTGTGTTTTCAGCTCGGATTGAAATCCCACTGATCTGCGCCAAACTTTCACTCTCAAGTGGATTTTATTTCAAAGCTACTTTGAGGGAAAATCATCAGCATCGTTGATAACTCTAAATTAATGAATCCCTCTATATATGAACTAATTAAACCCTAGGCGATTCCCTCGTGTCTATTTTTTCATGTATGTGTTGAATTAAATCCTCATGGGTTTCCGCAACTGTGCGCAACCAGATGATCAGATGGGGGGGAAAAACAACAACCTGGTACAAAGAACTTGACCACAAGGGGATTCAAACATTAAAAACACAGGCTCGGGTCAAGCTTTGTTTATCTGTTAGGCTGCACGATGGCTGATATCTCAAAAAGACGAGCGCACAAGTACAAAACTACCAGGGGGCGACAGCAGAGGGAAGATACATCGGAGGAAGCAGAAAAAGGTCAAGGTGCAATTGCGCCTATTATCAAATAAAGTCAAATATGTGCTCACCAGTGCGCGCGGAGTAACAGCTCTTCGTTGGGGAGATGAATGATAAGACATGCACCGCCCGAGGGGCTGAGATGGTGGACAATCCGCGCGCGCTCCCGGAACCACTGGCTTATTGCGCGCGAACAGAGCGGCTAATTCCCTGACCGTTCCATACGGAGGGGAAAGAAGGTGTGAGGCATATTAGAGACTGTCCCTGTGCGTGTCTGTGTGTGTGTGTGTAACCAGCAGGGAACAAAGAGCTTATAGGCGATCAGAGCTGGAGCTGGACCTCTGCTTCCCTCTGCAGATAATGACCATAACAGTTTTACTCTCTTGTTATCTTAAATGACTAGAATTTCCTGTGTTCCTGCCTGTTTTTTCTTTTTTTGTTTTGTTTTTTAAATTATGTCTTGAGGTGTGAGTAGTCAGGGTAGGGTCATTTTACTAATATACACCTATCAGCCACAACACTATGACCACTGGCAGGTAAAGTAAGCAACACTTCTTAACTTAATCCAATGCAGTGTTCTGATGGAAAAAAGTTGCATCCTGGGACTGACACAGATTTAACTATGACGCCTGCCTAAACATTTCTGCAGACCTTACTGCTTAACTCCCCCAATGATCAGTTCTGTGCTTGGGACAGCAAAAGGAGGCCTACATACCATGTCCAAGAGCCCAAGATTTTCCACGACCTCTAAACACCAGGTATCAATCTGATCAGATCTGATGGCATCACGGGGGGAAGTAAGCCTAACACAAGAAGACCAAAAAACCTCAGGGCTCAAAAGATCCTTTGCTATGGCTTTGGTACAAGACACTCCAGGAAATGTTCAGATGTACTTTGATCTTGACTGATCAGTGCTTTTTTGGCAGGCCGAGGCAAAAGCACTGTATAATGTAGGTGGTTATAATAGTAACACAGATTAGTGTATATTTTGTTGGACACAATATGTGCCAGTGCATTTTAATGGTAAGATATCAGTTTATTGCATGCACTTCTTAAAAGGAAGAATTATGAGACAAGTGAACATAAAGCTTTGTGAGGTAAGAGGTACAGTAACCCGGTATGAGATTAGTGGTCTTATCTATTTAGAATTTTACACTTATTGAAATTTAAATGTATTTATTTTTTAGCATGATGAAATATCTCTGTGACAGACTCTCAACTCATCCAAGGTGTATCCAGCCACCCAGCCAGTGGCAGCTGGGATGAGCAACAAGTCGCCTTTGAATATCAAAACAATAAACATCAAATTTTACAAAGACATTTTAATATGGATGTTCAGATTACAGCTGAACAAGGAATGATGAAGCCGGCAGAAACCGCTAAGTTATTTTTTTACTTTGTATTTGTATTATTGGGTACATTTGGATTGCATAAAAACAAAGTGTCATCATTTATATTCTTTCTAAGTGCAGTGTTTCGACAGACAGTCGCATTTAGTTACAGACAGGACAGTGTGTTGGCTACGGGTGCCGTTGGCACAAAGGATGGGGACACTGAGAGGCTTGGTCTCCACGGCTGCACAACACACACACTCCTGCTCAACAGCAGCTCTCTGCAGGGAGTACATGGATTTACTTCGACACTTCCCCTGAGAGATGGATACAGAGATGGAAAAAATAACAAAAATCACAGGGACAGGTCAGAAAAACATTTATGACCTCAATAAACTTTAAAAAATGTCAATTCTTGTGTGTGTTTGTATACTGTTTTACCTCACAGTAGTTGAGCTCTATCTGTTGCTCTGACTGGCAGTCATCCACCTTGATGTAGTTAAGTGTTCCCACTGTGCTCCGACACTCTGGCTCCATACCTTCACACACACACAGTTATTAAAGTCATAATGTTAAAGAATGATAAAACGCTCGATTTGGAAAAAGCTCACTTACACATCTCACAGCAAGTTGTTCCAATCTGGCTGACTTTCCCCTGCAAACAAGTAGAATAATAAAAAGTCAACAAATGTAATAATACAAGAGGGGATATGTTTTGAAATGTCTGCAAAACTGTACCCCGAGGTCCAGACAGGCTTGACGGTCAAAAGGAGGGCAGGTGGTCACTCTTGTCTCCAGCACAAGATCTCCTCTACTGTTTACACCACAAGTATACAAGTTGCAGCCATCTTCGCTAGTTGTGTTGACCTGACGAGACAAGACCATTCAAACTAGAACTGCCCCTCTCATAAAAGCTTTTCTGCCTCCTTCTCTCCTCAACCATCCTTTTTTTTAACCATAAATCCATCTCAGAAAGAAATCAAAGGATGTCCCAATTGCTAAAGTTCACTCGGATGAACAAGAATGAGGCTTGCAGGAGAAATTATAAGCAAATGTGTTGACATTTCTCCTTTCAGCCGCACTTGTAATCTACTATAGGTTTGTGATACGTACAGAGCTGTGAATTAGCTTGGAAGTAAATCAGGACCATTTTAATGCCCAGCTGACAAGATCTTAAAATACAATGAGAAGTTATACAGGTTTGTCCTCTGTCTTTATGCAAACTATTTTGAAATTGAGGGTCTGAAATAATGATTACTCATTTAGTTAAATGCCTGCAAGCGTGGCAAAGAATTTGTGGTGGAAAAAGCACAAAAAAAGAATAAATGATGAGAGATTGGTTACAAAGGTGTCTAACATCTACCACACCATTAGTACATCATAATTTACACAATCACAGGGTCCATCACTGCCTTTGAAGAACACCTACTTGGACATCGAAAACCTTTCCATCTGGCTTTTGAATGAAGCAGTTAGTGGCAACACAGCGCCCACAGCAGCTATCGTCCTCTTTCTCCATCGTGTAACCCTGTAAATATTGGAGTAGTAAATTGTTTCGCATAGACATCAAGGTGGATTCACTAGGAATGTATAGACAAACTTTAAAAAAAAAATTGTGTTAATAATTTGTTAACCATTTAACTGAGTTATGGAAAGATGGTGTTGCCTCAAATAAGTGGTGAGTGAGGAGGTTTTATTGTCAGGTGATTAAAGCATTCTCAATTAAACCTTTGAATGTTTGGCTAAATTACTCATGTATATTTAAGGGGAGAATGTTCATGGTCAAATGTAAAGTCCTGTAACGCGACAAGACTTACCCTCGGGCAAGTGGGACAGGTATTTCGCCTGCAGGATAACTTATATTTTGTGACAAGGCCATCTTCCACTGTACACTCACAGTGTGTGCACACATCCACCATCACGCTCTCTCCTGCCTGCCCAAACACACATATAACAAGAGCATAGCAAGTTACATCAGAGTTTCTCGTTGTATGAGGGGAAATTATTCTTTTTTTTTAAAACTTACTCCTATCATAGTGTGATTGAGAACGCAGGCGTTCACAGGAGCTGTGTAATGAAAAATCACAGAGAATAATTATTCCTTGAAGCTCAGATTCAAATGTCTGGTCATGAGTTGACACCGGTATGAGAGAGACACCTGCTGGGCAGGCAATGCAACTACAAATCATTCATTGAGGGGGAATTAGAAGAGTGACATGGTAATGTGTGTAATTTGTCTAAATATGTGCACACCACAGTGGCAGCTGGGGCAGCAGTCCTGAGTGTCGCAGCGGAGCTCGGTTCCCAACGGGCAGGTTGGAGTGTCCATAACAGCACAGCTGGCATTTGTTGTAGAGATGAACACCTCATTTCTCACTTTCACACACTGATGTAAGACACATTTGTCATGTGGAGACTGCCACATCTCCCCCACCTAAAAATGGACCCGTAAGAATAGAATCAACTGTGGGAGAGCAGACATTACAGCAACTGTTTTCTGAAGTGTACAAATTGTTCCTTTCATGCAGAGAAAAACAGAAATTCTGGTTCCCTCTAAACACTTACTTGTCTAAGTTTTCCCCCACTGATAATATCCCCATGGATCTCTTCTGACTCTACACAGCTGGTTGGCATGCACACTCCACAGCACCCCCCATTTGTTTGAGTGTACGTTGAGCCCTGAAAAATATATAAACCATGTTTGAGAATAAGCTTTTTTTTTTAAACCATGCTAATTGTGCCTGTCTGCCAGTCTCTCACCAGAGGGCAGGTGCTTTCACAAACAGGAGGTGTGCACTGGGCAATGTGGAGGGATGTGTCTTTGTCCTGTTGCTGGGTGCAACTGCACTTCTGGCACCCTTCCTCCCACTTGTTCCCCACTGGCCGAACCGCGCCATCCACCACACACACCTTGAGACACAACATGGCATGGCCTCACAGAAATCCAGCAGCACAATGAAAAGTTCAAACGCTCACCTTGTCAGGCAGGCAGTTGGTTTCTGTGCAGCCACAATCGTTGGTAAAGGAGGATGAGATGAACCCGGCGGGGCAGGTGCGAGTGGAGTTCTGGCAGCTGCACGTGCATTCAAACTCATCACAGCACTTTGTCTTTTTTACCGAAACGTGGCGATGCGCTGGGCAATTAGGGGGAGCTTGCTGAGGACACTCCTCCTTTTTGCAGACTGAAACAGAAAAAAGATGAAAAACATCTCAATGAGAACCCCTCGAACGTGTGCTCTGTTTCATGTTTGCATGTAAGTGGCAGAGCAAAGAGGCACATGAACATCAGAGAGAAGATGCTATCAGCCCACCGCACTCATGAACAGGCTGACATTCCCCGGGGTTTTTCAGAACCAGTGTTTGACCATCCTCACAGCGGGGCACTTCAGGTCGGTCACAGCTCACCAGGTCACACGCTGAAAAGTCATGGAGTCAGGAGAGCAGCATGGATGAAACGTAATGTTTCACATGGGTGAGCAAATTCATTAGTGGACAATAAATCAGCAATGATGTGAAAATGAATTAATGCTTCACTAGTACTTCAATAATAGAGAAACATTTAATTCTGTATAAGAGATAATTAAGAGTTTGTGGAGACACAGACATAACATCTCACAACTCATTACTCACTCAGTTATCCATATGATGTCAGCTGAATGAACAATGAGTAACTTTCTTAATAAGTTAAATGGTCCAAAAGGACTCCCGGCTATTCTCTACCCCTGTTTAATATTTTACCACGACCATAAAGGTTAAAACATGTTCACTGAAACAAAAACAGAATACTGAGTCTTTTTTAGGATCCCCAATAAATTGAACATACAAAAACATCACAGAGAGACTCTACAAAGAAAGTAGGTTTACCCCAGATTTCTCTATGATGCACAGAAATGATCTCATAATGAACTGTTTAGCAGTTATTCATTAAAAAAATTATATATTGCTTTATCAATAAATAATCCCCCTGTTTTTTTCCCAGTTTATTAATTCCCCACTATGTTTTACTTGGTATTTGTAAAAGTAAATAAATGTTGAATCCTTCCTGGTATGCTCTTTGTTGCTATTTGCTGTAACTGTTTATGCATCTTCACAATGTAAATCCACTTTTCTCTTTTTTTAAACTAATATATTACACCTCTCTCATTTATTGAATCAACTCTTATATTAGTCCTAAAATATAAAACATACTAATAATATCCACTCTTTATACATACCACACTCATACTCTGGGCAGCACTTGGAATCTCTTTTTTCTCTCAGAACCTCACATGGCCCACACACCGGAGCTAAATGTATATAGATGACAGGTTATGTGTGTGGCAATAGTCATCTGGCTTCACAAAACTAGTGAGATAGATCGGACACATAAAAGAAAAGCAACAGAAAATACGCCTGCCTTTGACGTCATTGCAGGGTCTGACAGTACAGTTGATGCGTTGTTGGTCCAAACACATGCAAATCGAACATGGGTTGTCATCTGGCACCCAGCTTTGCATATACTACACAAACAGAAGCAAAGCATGTTCATTTCCAGTGCAGTCCAATGTAGACACATTAGAAGTAAACCCCAGAGAGTCGTCAAACTTCTGCTAATGAGCACTTAAACAGCTGTCCCAGAATATTCTAACAGAATGGGCTTTTTTTTAACAAACTCTGTGTACATTTTGAATCAATTTGTCATGTATTCCGTCACTTTTTCTTGATATGTCTCTCACCATGTATGAGCGTCCGAGATGGTCAACACATTGCCCGCACACTTCAGGTAAGATGCACTGTCCATGATGCGAAACCGTCCCTCCAGGACAGAAACAACCTTCAGTTGGTGTTTCCATACAGGATGACTCGTTACCCCTGGCAACCGACCAGTCGCCTGGCAACGCCTGTATGCTACTACAGTCTTCAACACAACCTGTCCGACATGCATCATACTCCATGGAACTTGGGCACTGTAAGGCTAAACCAGAGAGTTGTTTTACGTTAAGATCGGAGCTCATATGTTAAAACACGGAATAGATTGAAAGACATCTGCAGTGACTTACGACAGAGGTGAGGGCTCCTCCAGTCTACACACACACCCCTTTCTCTACAGAGGCGTGCATAGGAAGAAATTAGCTCACAGACATCTGATTCTTCACATGCCTGCTCCTCACACTTGGAGAGGAAGACCTGAACGGGAATGTATGGGTGACATGGCTCAAACACTTCAGAGCGGAGGGCCTGACACCCCATAGCTGTTCCAGAAACACAAACTGCCTTTCGTTTTGGTAAGCACACGCCACCGTCTGCAGCCACTGTCCAGTCTGAAATGAAGGCAGGCTGGTTGGCGGCTGAGCTGCCATTCCGTAAGGAGAGAACATTTGCCTTTTCCTCATCACATGCGCCTAAAAGAAAAAGGTAAACAAGACAGAACTCAGGAGAAAAGGGGCAAACATGAAAAAAAAGATGCTTTACAAATGTGGCCCTGTGTCTGTTACCACAGAGTCCAGCAGTGTGACCACTGGTGGTGGAGCTGAGTAATGTGATGGTAAACTCATTGCTCTGAGGAGTAAAAGTCAAGACATAGCCTTGATCTGATTTCAGCTGCAGCATAACTCCTCCATAACGCACCAACTCCAGACCAGCATGGCGCCACGGCAACACAAGCTTTTCGTCATCAATCACTGCCTGCTCAAACAGACACCACAAATAAATAAACTCTTATATAGGACACTCCCAGATATTAACAGATTATTGTACATAAATCAGAGGCTTACCATAATGTCATCCTTTAGAAGCAGCTTGTACTGTCCATGGGTTACCTCCATTGCTTTCATGCAGATCTGGTTGTAATTCGCTGAGTCTTGGCAAGGTCCAGTGTGAAGCTTGACCTCTGACTCTTCAGTGATGCCTTGGCTGATGGTCAGCAGTGTATAGGAGCACAAACCCTCCCCATCCAGCCTAAGAGCCAAGCCATCAAACCTCACCACATGGTTGGTGGAGCTACCCATGCACATGCCTGACAACATACACAAGGCACAAAGCAGGAACAGACCCAGAAATGAGATTGCTTGTTAGACTATTCAAGTATTCATTGATGAAAACAGATAAACTGGGGGGTTACATCTAACTCCAGATTGCATTTGATCCTGGTGATATACATACAAGGGCATTCCCAGTGACAGCCGCATTTCTCCTGGACTCTAACTGGAGGCATGTTGTTTCTGCATGCTGGGGGCTCCAGTTTGTCACAGCTGACTTTGTGGTTCTGTACTGTCACAGCTCCACTAGGGTGACACAGGAGAGAGTGGCAGCCGTCCTCCAGCAGCCATGATTCACCGGGCTGAAACATTTTGTCAGAGGATACACAGATACACAGTCAACTGCAAGCTGTTGTACAGTCAGTGGCTGTAAAAGGTTGCAGGCATTACTCACCTTTCTCTCATTACCACTATCATCAACACACACTCCTGGTGGACCAGCTGAAAAACAGGACACACGACCTTTCAGGTATTGCCATCAATTATCATTAAAATCCCAAACAATTTTCTATAAAACTATAGAGAAATAATTGTAACGGCTTTATGGTTCTTGTTTTATTCTGTGTCTGGTGTCACCTCTGCAGATTTTCTCTGTGTAACTGTTGTCCAGAGTTAGCAACATCCGTAACTGATCCATGCTGCTCACGTGCAGAGTGTTGTCTTGGTTGCCGTGGTGACCAAGCACCCTGAGCTCACTCGCGTCATAACTTTGTCCAACCCCTATGGGGAACACTGAGACACCTGAGAGAGGAGGCCCTTATCAGTCAAACAACATCACCAAGTGAAAGATGAAGAGCAATTTTCAGTATTATAACACTCCCATTCACTTGAACGTAGGCTCAATAACCTGCAGCTAATGCCTCGTTCGCTGCCTCTTTGATGTCATCAGTTGATTTTTCTGTCAGCAGTATCACCACGGCTTTGGCTACACCAACTCTTCCCCCACTGACTGGCGAGATGGCTGTCTGAACAGCGAATCGCAGTGCAGACCCTGTGGACACACATTTCAGGACACTGACTATCCATTTCACCCTAAATGCATGTGTGCACTTTACTTATGTATTTACTACCTAGAGCTGGAGCTCCGCTGCTCCTGCTTGGAATGCTCTCCACCAGCTTCAGGAGGTCCGATTTTCTCTGTTGATCCTTCCACAGGAGCTCAGGTGTGTTGGTCTCTCCGTACTGAACCACGCTCACCTGAGTTCCATTTGGCCCTGCGTTAATACACAAGACAAAGTTTGGATATTCGCATATCTTATTTGGTTGCTACTAAAGAACTGTGCACAGTTGAGGTGCGTGTGCTCTTCTATGGAAGAATAATTGAAAACTGTTGACTGGCATTCAAATATAAAGTCATCACTACCTGTGTCAGAAATGCTGATAAACGCTTTAATAAAAGTCTTCATGTCCTCAAATGTTTCTCCAGCTGTCACCAGGAACATCACATCCACAGGTGTTTTGCATGGCACTGTAATGACATGTTGACAAGTTAACGGTAACTCTTTACGTGGGCCGCTTGAAGACAAAAAACAGTCGTACCTGTGGGTGGCAGGCTGGAGTGTGTCGGGAGGATTAAGGGCGGCAGAGTAGGTGATTGTGGCCTGACTGTAGAGTGTGTGATTTTGACTACTCTGTGGACGAGGGTTTTCAAACTGTTATAGTCCTCCACCATCAGCGGACGTTGAGGGGCACTTAAAGGTAGCAAATCTTGTTCATGTACGTTTGGCCCAACGCCAATGGGATACACCTCAGTTTTGGTTCTTGTAAAGGGTGGACGTGTCACTGTATCAGTGGGAGGGTTTTCTGTTACAAGGAAGACCAACTGAGGAGGTGTGGGACCATGAGCAGGCTTGCTTGTAACCATTTCTTGTAGAGTTGTACTAATGGCTGCTCCGCTGTTTGTCTGACTCCCTCCTCTCCAACGAATCTCCCGCAGTCGTTGCAGCAGTCTGGTTCTCTGTTGTCTGAGCTCCCACCGGCTGATCTCTACAGAGACTGTTACTGAATACTGTATTACGGTGATGCGAATAAACTCTTCTTCCTCTATCAGTTGTGAGATAACTTCCTCTAGGAAAAGGAGCGACTTGTTAAAGTTGGCTTCACCGACAGAATCGGAGCCTTCCAGGATGAACGTCACGTCTGTGGCTGGGGGGCCGGTAGTGGACTGTGATGTGGTGGAAGAGAGGCCTGAAGGTACAGTGGATGCAGGAGGGCTGGGTTTGTGTTGTGTGGGGTTAGGCTCCAGATGAGGAGCTGGGGAAGTGCTGGCTGTGGCCTGCTGAACTTTACCCAGAGTAGGTTTTGGTGGTGAAGATTTCACCACCTCAGGTTCCAACCCTAAGGTGCAGAGGTAATCGGTTAGATCCAATAAACGATCGGGCAGTTCAGCTGTGCTGCTCAGCACATAGGCCCTGTTATCTGGGTTGGCTCTGGTGATCTCATTGATTTGACTCATGTCTACGCCTGGACCTAGTGCCACAGTTAGGGTGGTGATGGCTTTCTTGCGAATCATCTTTACAATGGAGCGGATGGGGCGAGGATTTGCACTGGCAGTCAAGATAATGGCAACACGTCCAGCGTGCTCTCGCTTGTTCTTGTCATAAATGTTGATGGCAAGGTACTTGACAGCCTCGTCTAAGAAGGCTGCATCTCCTCCTGTGTAATGAAGCTCACGCACAGTCTTCTTAAACAGCCACTTCTGAACCTTTAGGAATAAAAGAGAAAGAGCAATTGGAGGATTAAGAAAATGGGCCCCGAATCAACTCCTGAATAAAAAAAGCAGTATATTTTGCTACACTTTGTATTACTCATACGAGTTCTTAAATGCAACCCTGTATGTTTGACCAAAAGTCCAAACTTAGATTAGCCTTTTATATACATGAAGCAGTACCTGCAAGTCATATGTTTTAACTCCAGAATGGTAAAGCAGCACTGTGGCTCGGGTGTGAGCTGAACCCATGCGGAATCGTTCCACCACATCCAGTATGAACCCTTTGGTTGCCTGAAATTCTTCTTCATTCAGTTCTTCTGAACCATCCAGTAAGAAAGCCAGATCCATGGCACGGTCACACATGCCTTCAGGCATCAAAGTGGTGAAGGGCAGCGTTGTGAAGATGTCATATGCAGGTGTTGGTGTGGGAGTGGTGAACATGGCGAGGGAGGAACAATCTTCACAAGTCAGCGAGTTGTTGTCACAATGGCTGTGGTAAAACAGTGACGAAAAAGAAGCTATCTTAAAATTAAATTTCAAAACTCTACTGGGCAATTCAAATAGTGTATTCTAAGCATTACCATATCTTGCAGTTGTTGGGGTCATCATGGTTCAATATGACTTTGTTGCCATGGGAGATTCTCTGACCGCCATGTACACACACATGACACTGAGAAGGTTCCACACAACGCATGGCTACCTCATCCAGAAGTTGGCCTAAGAAGATTGAGACGAAAGTTAAATGCACCTGTAATAAGAGGCTCAATTAAGTCTACCATGAGCTCAGAGAACACCTATTTTGGATTTGTGACATGTTCAGTGTTGGCACCTGGTGGGCAGTTGGCATGGCAGCCCTCTACACATGTCAGTGAACACTGGAGTGGTTCTGGATGCTGGCAGGTGATTGGACAAGTGGGGCCACATGTGTTATACCTCCACTGACAAAGCTCTTCCCCTACACTTGCAATCTTAGGGTTGAGGTCCTCACAGCTCATTGCTAAGGAAACAAAGCATCCAGTGGATTTCAGTGAGATTACCATCAAGGACAATGGGACAAAAGGTGATACATTTGGCAAACAAATTCATAACAAGTCATTTTACACTCAGTCGCATGAAAGTGGAAATTTGAAATGTCATATAAGACAACGGAAACCTGTGAGAGTTTTCAATATGACAAAGTCAGCAAATACAGATATTTTTTATACTCCACATATTTTTCTGGTAGAGTTTTGTCATGCAGCATTGAAAGACTCCATACTCACGGCAGAGATCGTTTGACCTCCAGCTAATGAAAACACCACTCTCTGAACAAGCTTGGGCATAGGCCGCAATGACATCACAGAAACACGCACAGTCTCCCACCGATGGGCACGAGCATGCTGCCTCCACACACATCTCCACGTATGGCTCTGCATCCACCTGTAGACGAAAAAGTTGTGGTAAAGCAAGGCAGTGTCATCAGACATGTAGCATGCAGAAGATTTCACTAACCTGACTGTTGCATTCTCTGAAGAGGGGGTCAGTTATCACACGACATGACTGCTCCACGGTTACTAACTTCATAATGTTATCACTGCATGGCGCAGGTACCTAGGCATGCGATGAAACATGTTAACATGCTAAGGCAGATTTGCAATGTATGAATTAAAATGTAACTTAAGACCTCATTGTTTAGCATGTTTAAGTACAATAAAAGCAAATGAGGCCCAAAATCCAAGGTTACAAAGAGCCATCGCTTGGACTAAACAAGGCTTAGACATGGCTAAATTTATACTCCATACAGACCCAACAAAGAAACGTTTTGGTGATGTATTTTAATGCATATACCAATATGTCTTGAATAAGATGCTTAGTTTAAAAAGAGTACATAAGTAATTTCAAGGTTGGAAAAAGCTCTTGTGAAACCCCTTGATTTTACCTGTGTGACATCAGCACAGCTGGGAATGACCTTCCAAGAGTTTCCAAAGTGTGAGGAGTCCACCTCCAGCTGGTTGTTACTGCTTATCATGTCATTGTTGACATTTCCGTCAAAGTTACCACACAGACCACACACCCGACCCTTCATAAGATCAGATTGAAATTACACAAATTGATGTTTTATATAAAAAAAAATTATCAATAAAATACCTGACAAAACCATTGTTGTAATATATCAGTACCCTGTATGCAGCAGAGATGTGAACAAGGAGATGAGTTCCTTTATCCCAACTCAGGGAGATGTGTTTCCCAAGCAGCAGGGTATAAAACTGACCAGATCTGACAATCTCCACCTGTGAACTCTGCCGGACCGGCTTCTTCATCTTCACCTGTATTGTTGCACATGTGACACTTGTGAGTAATTTCTTACGTGTTAACAATTTGAGTTTGATTTTTGCATTTCTTTAAATGTATTTCTACTGACTATACAAGAAGGTATATTTTGATGTTTGACAGATTTCTCCTCTGTGTAGCTTCATTCTTAAGTACTTTTTAGCTTTATAGTTTGAGTAGGATAATGTGTTCGATGACAAATTATCTATTAACTGTTTTACCTCTCCGTGCTGCATTAAAATCAAGCCGCCCTGGTAGAAGATTGTGATAGATTTTGCACAGTGATGGCCCACAATTCCACAGGCCTCATTCTCCACCAACACTCTGAAGGAACCTTCTTCTCCGTGACACATATCCTTTTGAAAAAAAAAAAGAGTAGAAAAAACATAAATGGATTTTAAAACATGAAAAACCTATACTACAAAAAAAAACTCTTTAGAACTCTGGATTTGTTTGTCTTATACCTGGACCAGGACATATTGGCAGAGACCTGGGAAGGAATATTTGAGGCCATCAAAGGTGATATAATGGCCCCCGCCAACAGTGCGACAGACACCGTCACAGACCTTCTCAGTGCAGTGCCACTTCCTGTTCTCACACACACTTTAAACAAAGCAAAATAACATGTTTAACGAGCGGACTCTAAGATTTTCCCCTCAATTTCACTAAAACCACTATCTTACCAGGTGTTGCAGTCAACGCTAATGGTTTGTCCAGCCCTGTATGGCTTGTTGTTATGGTAACAGGGACACAGCTCTGGTTTAATGCACTCTCTGCGGTGGCGTACCTGAAATCAATCGAGTGATCAATCAGACTGTTCTGTTGCTGGTTTTTGTCATTTAACACACACTTGCACAACACTCCGCTTACTGTGCCTGGAGGACAGAGGCAGCCGGGGGTGCAGGTAAGACTGACACAAGGCAGATCTAAATTCTGGCAGGTTCTGGCACACTCCAAGCCTTGTTCACCCGACTCGCACTCGGTGCGAACAAGTGGAGGTGGACACTTCGCTGACCGCCGCTCTGTGCATACAAAAACTCTTTTAAATGCACATATTCGGAAACAATGAAATAAAAGACAGACTTTATTCATTTAGGTTATATGTTATTCAGTGATCAATCTAGAGACACGCTGACTTATTTTAAGAAATTCAAATTATACCTCTGGATGGTGTCATGCCATCATCATAAAAGAAGTCAGACAGAAATGAAGTCATTTCATTGGAGGTACAACGCATGGCGCCATTCTCACAGTAGCTACAGAGACAAAAGCAAAGACAAATTAAAGCCACGTAAACGATAAAAAACAATGCATTTCTTCATACGCATGAACAGCCACGCACCAGATGCTGTTATGATCCGCGTAGACGTCATTAGGCTGGTAGAGCTGTCCATCATGCAAGCAGGAGCACTGGTCAGCTGTCACACATTCTCCAGAGTCACTCAGGTACTTCCCAGCAGGACAAAAACAGCCCTCCTCACATGTCCTCTCCCCCTCACAGCCTGCCTCCGCGCCAGATAAGGCACGGCATGTCCGGTCACAAGCACTCCCACAGGCCTGGTAGACCTGGCCTCCAGTGCACTCCAGCTCTAGTATCGTCATATCAGGGGAGGATTAGTCATTCATTCTCGGCTAAGATGTATTCTGTACCTGTTCAAAAGGTGTTAAAAAGCATTTAGAATTTTTTCTGCATAGTTCCAGTCTTAATTGTGTGCCAACACCTTTAATGATGGAAATTTGGACATGCACACAGATGTTTGGTATCTAAGGGCGAACTATGGATTTAAAATAATATGTTCAGTGAATATACAAAAAAATCTATACGTTTTTTCATATGGATATACTTTTAGTTCTCTATGTTTTAAATTTTTCATCGTCAAAACATTAGAATAAACTGCCTGACCGTTGGAGAAAATTTGATTTGTGAAAAAATTCAAGGCTGTGAAATGTAAGAACTGGTCCTTCTTTGATTAACTTAAGACTTGTCAGACAATAAATCATCAAATTCTCTGATCATATAGAAACAGTAAACAACCAAACCACTGCTAAGCAGTTTTCAAGGGAGGCATAAGCTATAAAAAGATACCCCAGTGCATCAGGCTTGTAATTTTCTATGGTCCAATATGGCATCAAGAAGTGGCAGTAAAATGGGGGAGTGAATTTAGTGGAGGAAAAAAGTGAAATGGCTGTAAACTTGAGACCTTAATAAAAATAAATATTAAACACTTTTATTCTGGGGTTGTGAGAAAAACAGGAGTGGCAGAGATATTTTAAAATCCTACATGCAAATGACAGGCAGGAAGAAAAACTGCTTTACCCAATGAGGCTTTGATTAATGAACAATTGTCCAAAGCTTGTTTAAAATTTACAACACAAAGCGGGGTTTCGGGTGTCTGTCACTTCATTTTTTTTTTTTAAAGAAAAAAAATCACTGAATTCTTAAATTTACAAAGCAGCATAAAAATACCCTTCAGCATTATGGAATCAACAGGAATATGTGAAAACTGACAAACGGCAAAAAGGAGCTGAAGAACTATTCACAGGAATATCTGTCATGTGAGTACATTTCTGTGAAACAACATAGCTGGGTAACAACACAGTTGCTTCTTCTCATTGTCTATAAGAGGATTTAAATGTTTGTTTTCACCGGTGTGTGTTTGAATTATTAGCTGTTATTGAGTTCAGAGCGAAAGTTACCACAGAGTGAAGGGGACCTCCAGTTGAGCAGCACTCCTCGTGCAGAGCAGGCGGCCGCATAGGCGGACAGCGCAGAGCAAAGGCACTCTGCACCGTCCCCACACGCACACACATCATACCGACAAAAGCGCTGGAACGGCCCAGGGTTCACCAGGAAGTGGCACGGGCTGAACACCGCTGACACCATCACTGCACATGCCTCCTCTGCAAAACGCACTGAAAGGTAGCAGAGGATCACCGGTCAGTGTTGTGTCGCTTTTTGGGTTTTTCTAAACTCGTTTTTTCGTTATTCATACGCGAAAGATACCTCTCTTAGGGTTGATAGCACATGGATCAGTCTCATGTTTTCTTGTGGATTCACAATCTCCATTAATCCTCCAGGTCTGGCCAAATGCCTGTGGACTCGCTTCAATCAGCCCAGAGCCAGACAAGAAGTCATCACCTTGGTTACCATTATAGTTGCCACAGAGACCACATGTCTGCCCTGCCCATCGTGGTCCAAGCTGGGGAAGTTCAAAGTATCTAGTTAAAGTAACAACCCATTGTTTTATCGCCACTTAAAATCATTTTCAACTAGAAAAAGTGGATTTAACCTTTAGAAGTACACGACCTCGCCCATTCCAGTCCAGACGAAGATCATCACCAAACTTTACATGAACAGAAGACTGAACAGATCTCTGAATATGCAGGCGACCTGTGAAAATCAATACACAGCATAATGACTATTCTAAATGTGTATGGTTTTTGATGAATGATCCATCAAAGCCAATCAAACCAGATTGAGCTTTATTGAATTTTAACTAGATGTATGCAACATACAGATTCTGTGCAATATTCACAATCGAACACAGCTATTTTAGTATTTTTCTTTTATCATACTGTTTGTCTTTATTCCTATGTCATTAGGCCTTTTTATTGCATATAACTGCAGTTTCATATATAGCATAATATCTAATTTCTTTAAATAAATTATATTAAGGTAAAAATGTATCTATTTTACTAAAATAGTTTACCATGATGCATTGGGGTTTGAATGTCCATGCTGTTGACAGAAACAATTCCTCCATGCTTTAGCTTCACTGTCATGTTTTCCAAAGATGCCAAAGTGAGTGTCACTGAGCGTGTGCACACTGCATCTTGATCATCTGCACACTGAGAGAGAAAACAACAGATGAAATAAAAGAGCTGATGCCATTGGACAAAATGAACATTTAACAAGTAATTTCCCATTTCAGTTTTGGAGAAGCTTTAATTCAAAATTTGTTTAGGCCATTACCTGTACGTTCTCAATTATGACAGAAAATTCGTTATTGGTGCAGTCCTTTGCCAGCAGATACTGACATTGTCCGGAGAAGGTGAAAAATTTGTTGTCAAAACTCTTGAAGTGAGACTGGCCAACAACCAGGCACTCACCTAGACACAGACATAAAAAGGTATAATGCCAAAAATGATACGCAAAAGATTGTTTCCAGTCAGAATGTGTAGGGGAAATGTGTCATACCAGGGCAGCCTTCGTTGGTACATTCCCAGGATCCATGCCGGCATACGCTGCAGACAGCAGGCATTAAGATACGTTACTGTCATGTCTTCAAGCATGTTTGCTTAAACATTTTGTACTCTTACCATGTATTACAGTCCTGAGAGATAGTGGATCCTGGAGGGAAATGCCGACCCATGTGTGTGCAGGAACACTGAGTTATCTCCACACAGCGATTACCATCCAAAACTTTTCCAACTGTGACACAATAGTCACGTAGGAGTCAGCATCACAATGACAGAGAATGGTTAACTTTGGTAATCAAGGGGCTTACCGGGGCATGTACAGCCATCCACACATTCCTCCTTGCAGACCTCCTGTATGTTGAGACTATGGCAGGTTGTTGAGCACGACTTGGTGCATTCACTGTACTGCATCCCAACCGGACACTTTGGCACTGCACATGAAAAAAAAAACTCCCCTGCAGAATTCCATCGTAACGTTTGATAACTTTTTAATGTCCGGCAAACCTACAGCACTGGCTCTGCTGCGACCAGCCATGCAGAAGGAGCCCGTGAGCATGGCACGTGCGAGCGTACTCCAGGAGGACTGGACAGTAGCAGTCCTCTGCGTCCATCTTGTCACAGTGGCAGGACTCGGCCTGACACAGCTCCAGAAACGCATCAGGAGAGACCAGGTGGGCACAGTGGAGAAACACACTGGAGGTCTGCAGCGCACTGCAGCTGGACAAAATCTACAAAAATAATAACACACATGAAGACAGAGAGACTTTAAAATCAATGTACAGATATTCTCTCTATTAGTTATGATGCCGGCTGATTTGGTTCCAGAATTTTCATTATTTCTTAAATGTAAAAGTAGACGTTCTGACAAATTTTGATTAGTATTGTTAAACTTATAGGGACTAAAAAGTCAAAAGAATAGAGCAATAACATCACAGAAATATTTGATGAGTTAGTTAACTGTGGCCAAAGCTTCCTGCCTCACCTGTTCTAGAAGTTTTTCATAGATTACCGTATACATATTTGTATCTGTTCATATTTGGGAGGAAAAATGTCTTTACGTGCTGAACTTGATGTGTCTGGGAGTTTTTGGCCCCTTACCGCTGCAGTCCCTTTTGTGCTGTTACAAGACTGAGTGGGATTTGAGACACGTCGACAGGACTGATCGGCTCCCTTCACGGCCCATGAATTCGCAAAATCATAACTGTCCTCAGTCAGGAATCCTAAAAGCACACACACAGACAAATGGGTTGACAGATTTCCCCTTAATCTCATCCTACCACGACAGGGTTTTGTTATTTTAAACCTTATCTTTTCCTGTACTGACTCGCTACTCTTCCTGTTGCTGAGTGCCTGTGAGTCAAATCATTTCCAAGATTCCAACAAATTGAACTCTCCCTTGTTCCACTCTCAAAGTCCTGCTCATTCCCACATGTATCAGGACAATTCTAGCCTGTCGAACAGTATCCACTGACGCACATACCCTCTTGAGCTGTATATTCATCAACTGAAACGGCATTGAAGTTCCCACAGAGGCCACAGGTGCGGTTGCTATGGTGTTTGGTCAGTGTCAGGGCGATGTTGGCTGCGTTGTCGATGATAACCGTGAAGCCTAACTCTTCACTCCAAAGTTTATAAAAGCCGAGCTCTGAGCCAACAAACACAGCATGAGACGCGTAGGGCAGGGACAGCCTGCAAACAAGAAGACATTTGTGAAGCTTCTTCATTACCAAATTGGTGTTATGCCCGCTATCGACAAATACCTACACAGCCACTTCCAAATGTTTTGTGGATGTTGCATCGGTTTACCTTTTTTCTCCTTGTGACAGCAATCCGTCTACAGACAGATGCAACTCAAAGGCGTCCCCCAAAAACAGCGTGACTCCAGCTCTTTTGCCATTGTGAAAATCCCCTGTGCATCCAAAGCAAAAATCAAATTGAAGTTATGACAAATTAAAAAACAGTTTGATTCTGCATAAAATTATAAAGTAATATCAATGAACAAGATCTCTATGAACTTATCCTGTTTTATGGCATTACTTTTACACACAACTTAACAAGTCTCTCACACTAAACTACACGACTGAACCATTTCATTTGATGTGAAATCAAAACTGCACGTTATTTTATCTTCTGGTTAATTGAGTGTTACTCACCCAACAGTGTGAAGGAGTGATGATTACAGTCACCAGCCAGAAGATAGCTGCAGTCTCCTGGAAACTCGTACAAAACCCCATCAAATGTGTGAACATGATGCCGTCCGAATAGGCTGCATCGTCCTGTCATGCCTGCCACGCAAGCTGGACACACAAGATACACATATATCCAAATGAGTGTCAACGTATGGAAGTAAATATGTGCCATCAGAATTTGAATAAAAAATACCTCTGAAATTTGAATGTTGTATATTAGTGCTTACTTTTTCAGTATTAAAATAAATTCAGAATATATTTTTAACCTAAAAAAAATTCAATGTCATTATTTGTACATTAAAAAAAAAATTCATTGTAATTTTTTTTACATGGTTGCAATTTTCAGTTACTAAAAAAATTCACATTCCTATTTCAAAGTGATCAAATTTTCAATATACATATTTTTCACAGTTTAAATTTTCAGTGTTAAAAAATTCAGCATATAAAAAATTCAATTTTTCAAAATTCAAATGCAATATTTTCGTTGTCCTCCAATTCAACTTGCTCAAATTCGCTGTCTCAAATTCAGCGTCTAAAAATTCGCTGTAAAAATGGCCAATGTTAATTCGTGTCACAGACATTAGCAATGGATGTCCGATTCCAACATCCACCTAATCAGGTGACACAACCGTCATATTGAAGAAGTACCAGTATCACCCAGGCTGGCGACCATGGAGGCGAACTCAAACCCGACGGTGAGTTTAATGCTTTCATATTTCTGTAGTATATGTTATTTTGCGCATGAAGTTTGATACATTATCTTAAAGCCTGATTTAAAACACTGGTTTGGGTCACGTGATTAGGTGGATGTTGAATCGGACATCCATTGCTAATGTCTGTGACACAAAGTAACATTGGCCATTTTTACAGCGAATTTTTAGACGCTGAATTTGAGACAGCGAATTTGAGCAAGTTGAATTGGAGGACAACGAAAATATTGCATTTGAATTTTGAAAAGTAGAATTTTTTATATGCTGAATTTTTTAACACTGAAAATTTAAACTGTGAAAAATATGTATATTGAAAATTTGATCACTTTGAAATGGGAATGTGAATTTTTTTAGTAACTGAAAATTGCAACCATGTAAAAAAAATTACACTGATTTTTTTTTTAATGTACAAATAATGACATTGAATTTTTTTTAGGTTAAAAATATATTCTGAATTTATTTTAATACTGAAAAGTAAGCACTAATATACAACATTCAAATTTCAGAGGTATTTTTTATTCAAATTCTGATGGCACATATTTACTTCCATATCAACGTAAAGTAGAGATTGTATATCACATATTTTACATGCTAATATGTGGAGGAGCACACAAAAGCATGGGATTCCTCTGATGTAACTCTCACCTGTTAAATGCAGAAGGAGGCAAACCTCTTGCAAATACCTTTTCATAAACGCCTGGAATACAAAAAGAACTGTTTTCTAATATCATGAACACCCAAATCAGTCTCATTATCCCCTGATTCATAACTCTTTTCTGTTCCCTGTTTTGAAACCCTCTATTCAGTTTTTCCTTCTCCAAATAGTCTTACCTCCATTGCTCCAAACTCCACAAATCACTAAATCCACAGTCAAGAAGTTACTTCATTATGAGAAAAATAATGGCCAAAATCTTCACACGCACACAAAGACCTCCAAACAACCAAGGAGCTCTATTTTATACTCTAACCCATAGCCCTGCCAAGCCCCCACTGGCTTTCCCCTAAAGACCACCCCCTTGCCAGGTTATGTCAAGAAGTAGAGAATATCATTCTGTCCACATCTCAGAGCTTGCAGACTGACACCATCAAACACATTCAGAAAGACAATGCCAGGATATGCCTACTGATCGCCAGGCTGAGTGATTAGTCTACACACACGAATCTGTATCAGCGCCAACCCAAACAACTCTAGTGGAAAACACACTTACCAGCAATATCTCACGTAAAAACAGAGCTTTGGTGGTGCCACATGCAAAAACACATGACTTGGCAGCACCGAAAATTGCACAAGCATACAATGGGAACAAGTACTGATCAACACTCTCAGGTAAAAGAAAAAACTAGCATAATCACCTGGAAATGAGACCAAGATAAATGACAGTATCTTGTCCTTTGTCCCAAATAAACATTAAACTGTGCGTTCAATGTCCTTCCTAAACCATTTTGTCACTGAATTTAATTTGTTTTAAAAACAAAGAGGTACTGATGTTCCAATTGAGGGACACCAGATAGATTGAGCTGACTACATTTTAAAGAGAACATCAATTATTACTTGAATTACCATAATGATCATTGGCAGGTAAAGTATCATAAAAAGTTTGGCTTTGTTTGGTTTCAGTGGTTACATTTTGATCAGGATCACCTGAAACAGAACATGTGTAACAAACGTGGCCAAAGTGGCTTTTTTTCAGAAACAAGTTCATATTTAAAAACTTGAATCCTATACGTTTACTGATTTATAAGCCAGATTCTAGCAAATTAACAGCTATTGCTGTAGCCTACATGTTAAACTACTCATTTACAGGCGCTTCTTAAGAGAAGATCCAGTATCGGTGGCAAAAACTACAGATCCAGGTGCCGAAGCACAAGCACACAGCCCCCGGGACAGAAAGCTTTACAGTAAACAATACACATAAATAAACATATAAAAACAGACCAAAATATTGTGTTCAACCGATTCAGGTGTATGTGGATTGTGGGACGTGTGCTGTGAGCCGTGTAGAAAGCTCTCGGGGAAAGAGGGGCTCGTTCGCGATGTTCATTCATGTACAGTCCATTTCATTCGTGACCGCGCTTCTCTTATTCTGGGGGATGACGTAATCACCCAGGGTGCTCCGGGAACTTGCAACGGTTAAAAAAGCACACGGCAGGAAGCACCTCGGTATGCAAAGTAGTACCTACCATGCCATACATGTTCCGTTGTAACACACAGCCGCAGGCTACAAATTTATAAGAATTAGCACGTTAACTTCCCTTTAAGCATGTTTTCAAAAAGACAGCGTGTATCAGAAATCCAACATAAAACCAGAAACAATGCTGCACGCGTAGAGGAGCATTGCATGTGTAGAACGTTATATTTTAAAAAAAAATCTGAATAAAATGAAAAATGAAGTTTTAAGGTATTAAAAAAGAGAGGCATTGGCTGTGCGGCCGTGTGGGGGCGGACCAGTCCAGGCGCGCACCGCACGACGTGACACAGCGCCAGCGCGTCGGCGAATAACCCCCGTCTGGATGCTGACCGTAATTTAGAAGAAGCGCCTCTTCTTTATTCTACCACAGCTTTCATTCTCGGATTGCGAGCAAAAGTGCGATCTACAGCTCAAGCGACGCTATGGGTGCTCTTTCTGGTGGAGAGACGTGCATCAAATACTTGATGTTTGCCTTCAACCTGGTGTTCTGGGTGAGTGGGAAGCGACATCAGATCCATTAACAATAGATATATTAACAACATATACGGTTAAAAGATTCCATATGCAGCTTGTCCGTGTGCCATTTGAACGTGTGTCGGCTTTACGTGTGTGCACGATCGTAGGAGAACAGGTTTTCGGTGTATGGAATTGAATGAAATGTCCCAGATGCAGAGCCGTGCCGTGCGCTCCCGGAGTGTCTCCGAGACTTATCGCAGTGCATAGCAGGCTACAGCCGGGGAATGACTTATGGCTGTGTGACCACCACCAAATACAAAAGCGTCCCGATGTTTGTGGAGCTGTGTAGAAAATAATCCCCAGTGGCCAAGTGACCCAGTTCCACCTCGCAGACTATACTCTGGAGTTTGCGCGCATGGCATTTTAATATCCGCCAAGAGGGTAGTGGGGGGAGTTTTACTGTGCTGGAGAAAGCGGTTCATATAATGTTAATTAAGACTCCTGCTCCGCAAAGAGCTGCAAATGGCAGTCAGTGTGTGTGTGAGTGCGTGTGACTTGTGAGGATTCCATACAGGGTGTTTGAGTCCCACTCAGCCTGCAGGGCGTGTCGTCCATTTGTATATAATATGTAAGCATCTGTGGTCTCAGATAGATTTTTTGCCCTTTTATGAAGGTTTCTAATTTGCCCAGCTATATATAGAGTTAAATACACATTCACTCTAAGGCAGCCAGGGATTCCCACCGTGTGTGTGTGTTTGAGTGTTGTCTTATGTGCATGAGAGACACACAGACAAGCCTCACAAAAGATCAACTGACTAATATTTGAATGATTATCAGGCTTATAAAAGAAAGCAGTGGGTTATCAATCCACGGGCTGAGTATTTTAGCACAAGGAAAGCGAGCTCAAACCTTAAATCATGATGTATGTACAGATGTTCCCTATCTGAGGTTTAACTACTCTAGTCTAGTTAGGGAGGAATCACATGCTACACACACAGCGTCTGATCACAGCTGTGTCCTGTGTGAAAAAAGGTTTCATGTAGTGTTTCAGGATTTCAAACTATGCCCAGATATGGGAAAAGTAAATGTGCTGCGTCCTTATATGAGGACATTGCATTTTTTCCTCTTTACTATGATACTTCGTTTTTCTTTGGTCTTAAAGTAGACGCTATCAGACACTAATGTTTGAAATCTAGAGTAAGACATTCAAATTATTATGTTTTTACTGTTTAATTAAAATATTGTAACTATGTTATTTAGACCGTCAGAACCAAATTACAGGAAAGAAATTCAATATATAAACACACATTTTAGATATAAAGATAAACCTACTGGGCCTATAAGAAGAAAAGCTACCTGTACCATGACAAAGTCTTATTAATGAACTTATTAGGTCCTATTAATCCCATATATCTTGAAAAAAAGCAAAAATGCACACCAAATAAAAACTCAGGTCTCAAGAGGTTAACACGTATTTGGGGAAATGTGACTTTTGGCTGCATGACTTCCATAATAGCATAAACCACATATGAAGGAACACATCATAAAGACAGTGTATGTTAGTGGGTGGACTCTTTGCCACTCCCTCTGCAGAATCAGGTGATCAAAGGTGTGGTTTATGACTGTGCCGTCATTTCAACCACCGCAAGCGTTTGTCTCTGCCAGGGAAGTTAAACACTCATAACGGTGGACTGTGTAAATTGAATCAGCATGGGAGTTGCTGGGGGAATCAAGTGTGTGAAATATCTCATGTTTATCTTCAATTTTTCCTTCTGGGTAGGTGTGTCTTTCTATTTTTGGGGCGTGTGTGAGAGACTGAGAATGAAAAAGAGAACTCCCATGCACGCTAGAGTTTTAGTTTGTCAGCCATTTTATGTGAAAGTGAAGCATGATAGATAATAGAAAGCATGCACTGTGAAGATCCTCAGCACAAACAGGAAAAAGTCTCTGCAACACTGACACTGGTTTAAAGATTAACTAGCCTGTGTGTGCTCTGTCAGCCTGTACGTAGAGTAATTGCACATTAGGACAGTTCACACATGTTGACACTTTAAGGTGGTTTCGTTCATTCAGAAAGGAGCCAGACTTAGCTTAGACTTTGCATCAGTACAAATGCAGAATAGGCCACATGTCTCCAATTGTCTGTGTGAAGTTCTTTTCATTCAATGAGCATGTGGATTCATTATAATGTGTGCTAAGCGTTTCTTGTTCTTCTGATATTTGGTTGACTTAAAGGTTTTGCTGAGAAAGAGAAATGTTCGCAAAGATTAGACACCTTGATTGATCACAGTCTTTTCCACGGGCAGGGACCATTGTACCCAGAATGAAAATGTACCCCGGTGGAGCCTCCACAGTGTTGTTAGTGAAGTTTGTACACAAGTGCTGCGGAGACATTCCTTTAACGGCACCTGACTAGAAAAGACGGATCCCAGATGGGGCCTGTCGGTGCAGATTTGAGGGGGGCAGCTTGCAGCTGTCAGGCTATGCTGTCAACTGGTGTTGATGGCGGGATGGCAGGAGCAATAAGGAGTGTATATGTCTGTCACATTAGTCCTGAATAAACCGAAAGTAAGAGTTCCTAGTTGCCGCATTGTACTGTATGTAAATAAATGTTGTTGTTTGTTCAAGCTTGCAGGCACCGCTGTATTATGTGTAGGCCTGTGGCTGCGATTAGACCCGAAGACCAAAAGCCTGTTTGAAGGACCAGACTCTCCGTATGTGTTTTACACAGGTAGGATGCACTCCATTCATGGAAAGTCCTGTTCTGCATGATTATTTTAGCTGATTGTTTTGCACGTGATAAATTATGTGTGCACGTGTGTGTAGGAGTCTACATCTTGATCGGAGCTGGAGCACTTATGATGGTGGTGGGCTTCCTGGGATGTTGTGGGGCCATTCAGGAATCGCCCTGCATGCTGGGACTGGTTGGTACTACTTATTGTTCTATGTGAAACTCCACATTTATATTTTCCATTACTAGGATCTTCTAAGGTTGCATAAATTCTGATTTCTGAGTCTCAAGTCAGCAGCACTAGTTGTTCCACGTTTATTCTTCTTGACTCATAGCTTGAAACACAAGATGTCTGGCTTTGTTATTGTTTACCGAACAGTCTCAAGGCCACAAAAGACTCTAGATTGCTCCCTCCTGCCTCCCTCTCTGTCCATAATCTTCTTGTGCTAAATCTCTCTGGAGGAGGGGCCAATGCAAACCGGGTTTGGCTCCACTCGACTGACCTTGCATGTTAACACATGCGCACAAAGAAAGGCACACAAGTATACACAAAGGCAACTAATCAGCTGAGTTTACTTTCCTTGTTTTTCTTGTGCAGTTCTTCTTCTTCCTGCTAATCATATTTGCCATTGAGGTAGCAGCTGGAATCTGGGGATTTTCAAACCAAACCAAGGTATTTAATTAGTGAACAACAAGTTGTTTTAATAGCTCTAACACTGTTAACAAAAAGGGACAAGCTGTCCACATGGGCAACATATTACAGGTGACACAATCAAAATCAGGACAAAGTCAAAGACTGATACGCATAAATCATTTCCTACTGTTGTGTTGCAGGTGGTTGATGACATAACGAAGTTCTACATGCGGACTTACAACGAATATCAGACAACAAAAGATGAGCGCCTCAAAGAGACACTGCGTGTGATTCAAACCGAGGTGTGCAGTCTCACCTGCATTTCTGCTTTTGTGTAATTCCCATCTACTCCCAACCTGTGCAACAAATCTCAACAAATATTTCTAGGTTTATTGTTCCACAGGCGAGAAAATCAGGAAAAGTGAGAGTAAAAACTCACACATGTTCGGACTTGCCTGCCAACCTCACTGATGGCAAAACTGTAGGAATTCAAGATCAAGCAAATATCTCGCACTATTCCCAAAAGGCACCCAGGGTGTGATTGTTTTTTCTGTCCCGGAGAGATTTCTTCTATTTGGTTATTTGTTAAGGGTAATTAATTCCTATAGGGAGAATTGTCTTGCATGTCTGGCGACTGTGATTTTGGTACCAGTAGGAAATGCGACAGTTTCCCTAATCCCAGCCAGGATGACTCTCACATTCCTGTGTTATATGGCTTGTCCTTTGTGGCATCCTCACTCATCTCCTGAGAGCAGTCTCCTTTTGGTCAATCCACATGGGGCCCCCTTCCTGACTTGTCCCCTGAGAGTATGCATAGCTTGGTCCTTTTGGTGATTCTTCATGGGGCTTGAGGCTGAGATGGGACTGAGATGTAAATTAGAATCTCTTTGTATGTAACTGATAAGAAACACAATGGCCTTTTCTTCTCTTTTATCTATGCTAAGGTATAAAAGGGGACGTGGCTTTCCCTCTGCACGCACTCACTTGAGTTTCTGTTTGCCTTCGAATAAATACCGTTATTGGACAAGATCAATCTTCTCTAATTATTGAGAAACTTTGTTTAAATCATTTAAAGAATTTCCATCGCCTTATTTTTTTGATCGAGTTCTTTGTGAATTCAATTTTTCCCCTGTATATTTTCAGCTGAACTGCTGTGGTCCAAAAGGCAGCGCTGAAGAAACTGACAAAGAGACTTGTCCTCGTGGGGAGCCTCTCGAGGAGCTTATTATGAAGGTACAACAACTCAGCATGTGTGCGTCCATTAAATGTCAGCGTTTAATTGGACCTTCAACGTCATGCGGCACATTTAAAACAATAACTATTCAAATCAAGGCCTAATTCATAGGGTCATCTGAAAAACAAAAAGAGGCAAAATAGCAGATTACCAACTGAAAATTCAACCTCCACTACCTCCCATCACATTACCTTCTATCATACAGTTTAGTCAACCCACGGCAGCTCAGAACACAGAAGTAAGACGACGGGCAAGTTTGAAGTCAGTATGTTCAATGACAAAACCGAAAAGGGTGATACTACAGATATATACACACAGATCGTTTTGCTACAGCCATGTAACAATACTTAAAGGATAGACACAAAAGGCCATCTCTGTGCTTTCTAAAAAAAAGAAAACCACTGTTATTTAGCCGGCCAGATCTGACATGTGTCAGCTACGTTAAAGCTTGCTGTTTGCTGTAAGTCACTGTTTATTTCTTGTCTTCCCTTCAGACAAACTTCCTCCGCCTCCTGTTAGTGTTCCCATAGTAACACCGATGTCTCAGTGCTCTCAGGGCTCGTTTATATGTGGCTTATCACAAGTCATGTGCAAAATGTGATGAAAGCTAAAATGAAAACGGCTGTCTGTCGCAGAGCTGCCCTGATGCCATCGATGACGTGTTTGACTCCAAGTTACACATCATTGGAGGTGTGGGCGTCACCATTGGGGTAATCATGGTGAGTGTGTAACCAGATCCATACTGGCACAATCAAATTTAAAAAAAAATAGTGCTGTAGAAGAAAAAATGTTATTTTTAAATACACGTTTCTATCTAAGTATTAGTTTTCTTTATAAATCAGTGAATTAAGAGGAAAGAAGAGGATTTCTTTAATTGCTTTAGCAGGAAGAATTGTTTTACAAATCCAAGCTAATGGGAGGTACTAATCTTGCTCTTCACAGCTGCATGTTGTAAAACTGGCCTTGCCTGACCTTAAAGCCTTAAATCCTGTCTGACCCTGGTTTTTCTGCACCAGACACATGCTGGCCTCATGGCATCTCGTATCTGTCTGATCCCTTTGCAAAGGATATAACAAGAATTTACTCAAAGACAACTCCATGCTGACACCCTTGTTTCGGATTTCCACCGCAGTGCATATATGAGCTAACTCAAAGTCTCTTACAGGTGTTCGGGATGATCTTTAGCATGCTCCTATGCTGCGCCATCAGGAAGTCTCGGGAGGTGGTGTGACACCTTCCCCAAGCCCTTGTGAATATTGCATGATGTCATTCCCAGGATCACATGACTCTCCACTGCCAATATAAACACTGCTTGTTTCAGGTGGGGTGGGGTCAGGGGTGGGGGTGGGGGTGAGGGATGGGACCTAAACTAGCCTGTGTGAAGATATTTCTGAACATGCGTCAGTCTAATTAATCGGTTCTAACTGTGCTGCTGACATTAGATACAACGTGGTTCTGTGGGCTGAGTATAGATGGGTGTCAGCCATGCTTCAGTGGCAGTGTAGTACAGAAATGTGTAATTATGTGGTAATCTGACTTAAATCAATGTCTGTGAGCTGCTAATTATCTAAACAAAACACCATAATATTGTATACTGATCACATTTCTATTGCAGTCACATTGGGTCTTCATACAAGCAGAAGGAAACAGAAATGGTCCAGGGATAATAAATATATATATAACACAGCACTACTTCAGCATAACACAACAGTAGCCAAAAGTTATTATGCTTAATATTTTTATCACACAACTCACAATGGCAACTTATCAAAAGGAATGCCAAGCTGTGACATGTCTGTGCTTTAACCCAGCTTGGTTTTCGGGGTTTCTTGGTTCCTGTAATGCATCAGTTTTGTTCCCATGTACTGATTTTCCCTTATTTTGAGAGCCTTTTTTTTTTCTTTCAGATTTTTGTAAATGTCTTCTTTTATATATATCTAAGATTTATATTGTTTGGTGTTTATATGGCACGTACAGTCTGCTGACATCTTTTGTAAAGCCCTCTTTGTTTTACAGAGTGGATTTGATTTCTATCACGTTTCACAAAGTCAAACGTTAATGAACAGAGCCAAATAAATAAAAATCTATAAAATGAAACGGTGAGTTCTGGAATCACAAACCCATTCCAGGAGACTAACTGCTGGTAGAGAGGTAATTTTCCCCTGCTCTCGGGTAGGTAATTTAATGAACTACAAAAGGTGATGCCAGATGTTTCTCTGTTTAACTGACTCTGCTTGGTGTGCAGTGTAACAGGGAATAGAACAGTTAGAAGGGAGTAAATGTCTGAGGACTGACAACCAAAACTGGGAGTATTGTTTCCCACTCCACATTCAGAAAAACACAATCTAAAAACGCCCCTATCTTTGATATTAGCCATCGTCAACTGTGACTCATGTAATGCATAAACAAAGTTAAGAGCTGCCTTCGTCTCTGAGTCACTTTGTCGCAATCAATTTATGGAAACCTTGAGTTCAAAACTAAGGATGTACAAGTTCCAGTAAACAGTACAGCACTTGTATAGTTAGAAGTTAAGTTAATGTCTAGATGAGTCACAGTTTCCCCCCAAAAGAGAGGTGAAAACAGCATCTGAATTCCTGATTACAGTAGCAGGAAGTACACTATGATTTGGCCGTTGACAGTTAGGTGCTGCCCTCCCAAATGCCTCATCTCCACTATGTAGATAAGGCTGATTATAGAGTCTGACTATTTGTTAGGTGTTCATGTTGTTACAAATGTGTCCCTTTTAATGTAACTGAAAGTGTTGTGGCCAAGGGAAAAGGGAAGGACAACTAAGATAAGGAAAAGAAATTCGGGGAAAAATAATAACCATAATGAAAAGAGGAAGCTGACAAACATCAGCATTTACTCTTTTCACAAGACTAAATAATTTAATATCGGCACATTCTGTGCAAAACAAAGATTAACAAAGAGTTGTTTTAGGTTATCTTCTTTGCTTTGACTGCCAATCCTTGATTTAGGACGGAGGGCACAAAACCACGTTGACATTTTATTAACCTGTAAACGGCACCTTTTTTTTTTAATTTACAGAAGTGCAAAAGAATTGTAAATGCATAGTGTGTGTTGTATGACAATACAGTCATGCAAATATTCCTGTAACAACCAGCACAGGAGTGCAAACGGCCTCCTCCAGTTCTTCTTATGGTCCATTGGTATTGATTGGGCACATTTTTATGGCTTTCATCTCAGAGAAACACAATCTCACTCCTCCACCTCGTCCTCTGATCCCTCCCAGGAAGTTTTTTTGAGTCTGTGTGATTGTTTGTCTAAGGCCGTTTTTGTACAAAGCACCATGTCCAACCGAAGGAGATTTGTGGCACACTGAAGCACAGCCAGAAGCAGCTGATATTTACAGGACACAGATTCAAGACCCAGGTCTGACAGAAAATCTTTGGGTGGCGTGTCAAACTCTCCACAACAATGCAAGTTAGGTTTACAGTCCTCCAGAGGACTTTCAGCCTGAATGGAGTCTGCATTATTTGCCTGTTTAAGTACAAAGCTCAAATGCTGGGAACGACTTGGAAGAAAACTCATGACCCTAGTTTGCGTCTGCAGGAAAAGTCGGGGGTTATGAGAGTAAATCTGTCGGGGCACGCTCAAGAGAGCTTTTGCCAGAAGCTGGTAAACAGAGTTACCTATGCTTTTGTCATCAGAAACTGAATGACTGTGTTGTAAGAGGGCATGGTGCAAGAGAAACTCAAAGGTCCCACCAGCGGGAATCACACAGCCTGGTTCTATTACTTGCTTCTGGGGGGGGTTCATACAAGAGGATCCACATGTGGTGCTGTCAGTCATCTGCATGGGTGTCCATGTTGAAAGTAGCATATGAATGGCATCTTGAAATGCACGTGCATACTGGTCAGTTTGTCCTTCCCCAGGGGCGCATATTACAAGATTGCAGGGTTTAACAGTGGCTTTGTTCTCTGAATCAAAGAAAGTTACATGGACACACCTGTAAAAGAGGAAAGGACACTGTTAATCAACCAAGCATAAATAGCCAACTCCTGTGGATTACAAGTTTCATAATCAGTCTATTCCTTTTGTGCATAGGTACAGTCTACTGGGAAAGACAGTAAAAGTGTTTCTGTATACCTGTGGGCCCCCAGCAGTATTGGTCGGCAAAAGTTCAGAGTTGCAACATGCTCGAGATTAATCTTCCAGCAGTCCAAGACAGGTGTGGTCCCACTTAGTTGGGCAAAGAGAACAAGTTCCTCTTCACTGACACACTCCACAAGACACATCTCTGCTTGTGTGGCTAAAGCCAGGACAGCAGGAGACTGTTTCACTGCAGACAGAAGCACAGACACCTCAAAACTCTTTAGCTTTGCAAAAATGCACTCTAGTGACCTTTCTGCCCAGGCACTAAAGTGCACAATACTTCTCTCCTCCATCATTCCTTCTCCACAGCCCACCTCAAGTACGTCTCCTGGGTAAAGTAGTTTTGGCTGCAAGAAGCCTGTGAAAACTACAGCTCTGACAGGCTGATTGCTGGTTTGAGGGCACGGAGTGGAAAAGTCTCTGTGAAGAATCTGCCCCAAAATCACACGGGAAGATTTGACAGGTAAGCCTGACACCGTTGTGTGCAGCGCTGGAAAGTTGTCATTCAAAAACTGAAGCGAGAAGGAAGGCTGCTCATTTTTAAACTTCCAGTGATGGAGAAGTTCACATGTGAGGTCACTGATAAAGTCACAGTGCACGTGACTAAGACGAGTATGAAAAAAGGATGACAGAAGTGTTTGAATGGAGCGACAACTTGTGTGACTTAGTGATTGTGTTTCTCCGCTCAACTCCTCCAGTGAAACACAGAACCCATATGGCACCACATCCACAACAATGAGATCATTCAAATCCGTCGATGCAAATGCAAGCAGTTTTTCTGCTAGATGCCTGGCAGAAGCAGCCTCCGCTGCGTCAGTAGATCCATAACAGTGAGAGACATGAAGGTTCGTGCAAGCTGTTTTATGAATCATTCGCAGTAATGATGCCAGAAATAGAATAAAGGTCTTGGATCCATCGCCTGTTGCTGTGCTGTGTTTCCAGACACAATCCACCACCACCCTAAAATGATAGACATACAAACGGATCACATGAAAATCGATCCTGGGCAACCCATAAAAACTAATACATTTCAATGTCTCTTCGCTAACTTGGCCAGAGGATGTTCCAGATGCAGCGCTGTGAGAATGGTGGTCCCACAGCGGCTCAGCATTGCCTGTCCCGTGTCTCGGGTGAACAGCACCTGTCCTCCTTCAGGGCCGAAACTGCGAAGGATGACCGCTTCTAGGGCACACACTGTCTGTAGGACATGTTTGAGGTGGAGACGTTCCAACGGAGGCATGACAGCACCCTGTATGCAACAAGATTTCAACATTACATGCAGAGTACTTCACGTCAGCTGAATACAATAGTAAGAAGACATTCCTTTATCGTAAGGCCATGGATGGCATCAGAACGACTCCACAGTTTCTCTTTTCAGCTTCCAAAGCCACCTCAAGGATTCAGACACATTTAGCTACAGCAAAGGTGTCCACAGCCAGTGTGGGCTGTGAATAGCTGGCAGGACATGATTTAATTAAAGGATTTGGGACTTCCTGGCAGCCAGTTGATCAGACAGCTTTTTAAAGCAGTTTTAGGGCAGGAGTCTGGATTAATTTTAATGATATGGCTGTTATAAAAATAGAAAAAAGACCCCAAATGCCCATGTCCAAATATGTTTAAAAACTCTGCAAACCACAATTTCTCTGGGGAATGATTCATCTTCATTAATCGTAAAATTAGATTAGAGGTTTTGTTTGATCAACAAGTGCATAATCCCGAATTACATCCCAAGGATTGGTCATTACTATTGTTTTTAAGAATACAATTTCAGATATTATCTCGGCAGTGATTATAAAATTGCACGGCAGCTTATTAGCAGTTAATATCAGGGTAGTGCTGGCTATTCGCCCTTGTACAGTTTATAAAATGGGCTACTAAATTAATGTGCTCGCTACATGTCACTGAGACCACCATTAAAGGTAAAAATATGGATATTTTTCAGAGATTTCTTGTAAACTCCATGACAATAACATGATACATAAAGCGACAACAACGCTAGCATTTGCTAGCTACTTTTGAAAAATATTAACAAATCATCTGATCACTTAAAAGACCTTATCTTATCCATCCAGAACATCAGTATTATTAAATAACAACGGCGTGTGTACTATCTAAGAACGTATTCGTCAAAAACAGTCAACTCACACAAAGTCTAACGGGAACGCTGTACTCTGTCGCCTAGAAACAGGACTTCTTCTATGGTTGTTGAATGTCAGATCACATTTAGCTGTTGCCACCTAGCGTTTGGAAGGAGGTCGTGTTGGAAACATTTTTCATCTATTGTTTTGTTTTTTGTGTCCGTGTCACGGTTTATTTCCAAAACCCTTCCAACATCACACGGTCTTATTTCTCCTTTGGGAAGTAAAACGTGTTGTTTGAAATATGTTTTGTCACAAAAACTAAACCCACAATTTTATTCAAATTACACTCTAAAATCAAACACAATAGAGTAGCAAACGACTTCCCATTTTCAGATTTTTGGATAGCTGATTAAACAGAAAGTGAATATATATATGTGAATATATACTTGTTTTGTTTGAAAGGAATTTGCTTTTTGTGCGTCTCCTGTTTAAGGATTCATGAAAATGCTTAGTTTTATCGATAGATTTAATTAGCTCGACATAAACATTGCAATCCATCATAATCAATATGATTAAGTGGTCTTGCAGGCTGTCACCAAAGTAAAGCAATAATATACTTTATATAATAATGTACAAAATTCACATTAAATGCACACAGCATCTATCTATGCCTCAAAAACAAATAGTTGAGCTCCATCTGGTCTAGCCCATCCCCCAAGCCCCTGTCTTTTCACCCCGTCCCATCCCTCCTTTTCTACACTTACACTGGAACCTCAAGGTGAACAGGGCGGGGCTGGAACTTGATCTTCGTGTTGCTGCAGAAACCACATCCTAAGTTCTAAATTAGGTAACATCATCTATACATAGACAATATGAGACACTTCTGCAGCTATTGCCAAATGTACAGTTGCACACGCACGCTTGAGAGATGGCCACTCTGAATGTAAATGTCCTCTACTGCTGAACTGTCACTATGCTAACGAGCTTTTAAAAAGCCATGTCACCACACTAATGAATATGCATCAGTGGCCCGGTGAGGGTGACCTGTAGGGATGGGACAGAGGTCTCGAGAGGTGGGGCGTCAGGCATAAGGACCGCATCTCCCATGAGACCTGAATGGACAGAAAAGAACACATTCACCCCAATGCATAACTCTCATACACACACCTATGCCAACCCCAGCCCCGTCTTGCTCCACCCTCTCTGTAGTTACTTGTGATCCAGCTTCCACACACCTGCGCTGTTCTGGATGTCTGAAGACTGCTGAGACCAATAAAAACGAAAGGGCAGCAAGCTGTTACATATGTTTGCCATTTCACTGCGTGTTTCTGGCTCTTTTATCATTTTTCTTCTGCCTCTTCCACTCTCTCAGGAGGAGGAACATCTGTGACTACATTTCGTCGCTTGAACATCTGAATACAGGTATGTCGATTACCGTTTTGTTTTAAATCCGATCTGTTAAATCAATCAAAAGATTGATTTAAACAGAAATCTTGCATCTGAAAAGAGATGGCTTAAGAACTAATATATATTTTAAAAATATGAATGATGAGATCTGAAAAGGCAATTTTATATTTTCACCGAAGACAGATTTGGGTACAGGACAATCATCAAGAATCTATAAATCTGTAATACCTATTTGACTGATTTTCTTTTGACCACAGTCAGAAAATAAATGTTTTTCTAAAGGTTTACAAAATCTTTGGAGACAAGCGCGCATTGTGGTTTTACTTGAAACTTGGGTATAACCCTGATAGTGTATACACACACTGAGATCAGTGACTGCATGGGGACGTGATCTCATCCGCTGATTCAGCCTCGGATACTCAATACCTGTGATGTCTGCGGAATAAACGATAACACAAAAACATTTTCTAGCACTAGATTCGGGTTTTGGCTGTGGGGCTTGACCTTGGCACATATGATCCTGGCAGCTCAGTGTGTGACAGCAGAGATCCACGTGGGTGTTTCTACCCCCTCCGAGCTTCACAACTTCAAGTCAGCAGCTTAGGCAGAAACGGCAGCTTTCATATCCTGTATTTGAGTCGTATTGCCAGGCCAGCAGAAACAGGAGAAGCTATATGACACTGGTGGACATACACCGTCTATGAGCACATTACTGCTTCAAATATGTGATCAATATGGAAAATCTGCACGGGGGGGGCGTGTTTCTGTGGTATGTTCCCTCTCACTTAGAGGGCATTTACAGCTTTCTCCTCTTCTCTTGTTGAAGTATAACGTTGCGTTGTTGTTTTCTGTATCTCTGTTTCTCTGCCAGTTAAATTTTGGATCTACTCTCACTCATAATAATGAACCGACGAGCTGCACCGAGCACCTCATTTACTCCGTCCAATATGCCAAATACAACATCCGCCCCAGGCCAAAAACAACCTGGAGGTCACGATGCCAACAAGTTCATGAATCAGCTCCATAGCATCCACAGTGAGTAGGACATCTAAATAAATATTAACAATTAACACAAAAAGTTTTGAGGTATCGACACATATCAAAGTACAAGAGACTGGATGATTTAGATTTAAACACAGAGGTCTCTGGTATATGTTTTTTTTTCATTAAACACACACATTTTAGGAATCAATCTTAGGACAGCTCTGTTCTTTCTTTATCAAATGATTCTTTCAATGTCAAACAATTTGAAAGCTTAAATAACTGAATATGATATATGTATTTTTTTATCAGTTTTTTTTTGCTACTGTTTCAAAACCTGTTGTCTTTTTGCTTGAATACATAAAACCCAAACAAAGAATCTGTCTCCATCACAAAGTGCGATTCATTAGTCATTGTGCAGATCAGATTTAGAAATGTGCACCACATAGATATCTTCCCAGGTGAAAATGAACTGTTTCCTTGGGTGGAAACAGTTCTCTTTGCCATTTCCTCCTTGTAGTTCTGTTTTAAACCTCTGAGAATAATAACACAGAAACTGTGAATATCTTGAGTTCTATCAGAGTTGTATTCTGCTTTATTCACGCTTTAAAACCAACATAACACATATGACCTGATCAAATGCTGAACTATACCCTAAAGTAACCACAGGTTTGAATCTTGAAGTGTTTCATTAACAGTATCGTATTCCTTAAGTACCACATACACAACCCACTCTATGTGATTAAAAAAGTTAAGAAATGTTGTGTAACTATGTAAGACAAACCTAAATGTAGTGTGTGTGTGTATTTTGTTGATTTGCAGAGCCGACATGGGCTGCCGCTGCCGTTTGTGTCGTGAGTTTGTGTGTGGTCCTGTCATGTGTTTTGTGTGTGTGGAAGAAGTGCTTAAAAAAGAAGGACAAGGACAAAGACAAGGACAAGAAAAAGGGAAAGGAGAAGAGTAATGGAGGCTTTGACACTGAAATGGATGGGGATTACAACGAGGTAAGCCACCTCCACCCAAACAGCAGCCGCCTGCAGTCACATTGCCCTTGAAATGTATCACAGTCCTGACGTCCAGGTCACACAAAATTGGTGCAACTTTCACTGCCTGTTGAGACGAATGGACGTTCTGCACTTCGCTAAAGGTTGACATAATGAGATAACTGGTTTTAAAGCCCCTGTTCTTTACCTGCATGGGATTTATGTCTGTGTGCAGCCCCTCAAAGATGATGTAGACAAAGAAACAGAGCTGTCAGAGACGGAGAAAAAAGAGGATGAGAAGTTAGGCCGATTACATTTCACATTAGACTACAATTTCACTGAAAACACGGTGAGTTGCAACTATTTCAGCCATTATATGATTGACCAAAAATGTCCCATTCATACACACTCACCCTGTAAATGAGCAACCTTCTTCTATTTTCTTCATTGCTTCTCTTTGTGGCCGCGCTTCAGTTGGTGGTAGGCATTTTGCAGGCTGCAGAGCTTCCTGCGATGGATGTGGGGGGTAGTTCCGACCCTTATGTTAAGCTCTACCTGCTCCCTGACAAAAAAAAAAAGTTTGAAACCAAAGTTCACAGGAAGACTCTGGAGCCCAACTTCAGTGAGACTTTTACATTTAAGGTAAATTTAAAACAAGAATATGAACAATTGCAGTTATTTGTCCATGTGATAAGCGCAGCTTCCGTTACCATTGCCCTGCTTTCTGGTCTGCAGGTACCCTACACTGAGCTGGGTGGGAAGACGCTGGTGATGACCGTGTACGACTTTGACCGTTTCTCAAAACACGATGCCATCGGTGCTGTGAAGATTCCCATGAGCGGCGTGGACTTCAGCCAGTCTCTGCAAGAGTGGAGGGACCTGCAAAAGGCAGAGAAAGAGGAGGTGAGATAGAGAAGAGTTTTAAAAGGAGGACGAAAGCAAATACTGATTTTGATTTGCGAAGACTTTAATCAGCAGGAAACACTGTTCTTTTAGTACTTTCTTTTTTTATTCCACAATGGATCAGAATCAAACAAGTCTTCACAAATTCAAAATTCAGGGATTGCATCACTGAAGTGCTTCTACAGAAGAGAAGGCAGCAACAACAGCGTCATGCAGTCAAATTTTGGACATTATTCCAACAAAATGCTCTTTTTCTCTGTATCAGAGTGAGCGGCTTGGAGACGTTTGTTTGTCCCTGAGGTACGTGCCAACTGCAGGGAAACTCACAGTGGTGATTTTGGAGGCCAAGAACCTGAAGAAAATGGATGTGGGTGGATTATCGGGTAAGTTAAACATAAAAAAGTATAAGAAAACTCATGTCAGTCTCCTGCTACCAACATATTGATAGTCAGATTTAAGTATAACTACTCAGCCAGCTCAATCAAATTCAACTCATCGTTTAAGTTTGAAATTCTTGTCTTCAACAAGGAAATACAAATATGCCTCATTGTATTTCACTACACTAGCTGTGATCTTTCAAGTGGTTTCTATGTAAGAATATCAGGAAGTACTACAACAGATGTTATATTCTTGAGGGAGTTTCAGTTCAGTTCTTGGTTTGCTGCTCTTACATAAGGCTTCTTTGTTCTTTGCAAAAGACCCGTATGTGAAGATCCACCTCATGCAGAATGGGAAAAGACTCAAGAAGAAGAAAACTACCATTAAAAAAAACACTTTGAACCCTTACTACAATGAGTCATTCAGCTTTGAAGTGCCGTGTGAACAGATAGAGGTACACAGAATTGCAAATTTAGATACAAAACTGCAACCAAGAGAAAATTCATGTCTTGTGTATGTTTTTTTTTTTTTATAGAAGGTGCAGGTAGCTGTGACTGTGTTGGACTATGACAAGATTGGGAAGAATGACGCCATTGGGAAGGTGCTGCTGGGGGCTAACAGTACCGGGACCGAGCAACGCCACTGGACAGATATGCTAGCCAACCCCCGGCGGCCAATAGCCCAGTGGCACAGCCTCCAATCGGAAGACGAAGCCAACGCACTCATTTCCAACAAGAAGTGAAAATGTGGCATAAAATGGAACAAAAACCTGACCTCAAATACTTCAAACTTACAGTCTATATTGTACAGAGATATTCCTTATAATAACAGCTATTTAACTGAATTTAGCCCTCCGAAAGACACCCTGCTTTACTCTTTATACCTTCAAGATTAGTAGTAAATACCATTTGCTCTATACCTGCAGTATCTCCGTCCATCTGCTTGGAAATAAATGGTTATCTATTTCTGGTTAAGAACAATAAAAGTGAAAAAGATTTTTTTTAAACTTGTGGGATCAGTTCTGTTCAGCATGCACGCCACACTGATATGAACTAAATCAGCCTGCAGGGGGAGATAACACTAAGCACTTCAATAACAAGAGCTACGTATACAACTGATGTCATGCCTGTTTTCAAAATTTCCTTTGTGGTTGTTATTGAGGCGGTTTCAATGTAATCTTTCCATGTAATCTATCAATCTTACTTTTAATTAAGCAGTGGAGCTGCTATTGTCACTTTTTACCATGTCACTCTGCATTTGGAAGTATGTGTCACCAAGCCTCCAAAGACTGCACATTTTGTGAGCAGTCCAGATGTCCCAGTACTGATAAGCAGTGGAATAACCCATCAGTTTCATATTTTGTCCTCTCATGTGCACAAGATAGGCAAAATAACTGTAATTTGATATATATAATTTTATTTCTGTAAAGCAGTTTGTGTGTAAATTAAATTTCATCATACTTAGGTAGCAAAAGTGAACCACAAAACAGCACGGAAATGTTGATTTGTTTTAGTCATTATCATGTATTGTATCAGGTTCTTAAACCTAACATAACCAGCTTTACACATGTAGTCTACTAAACCCATAGTCCGGCAAAATGACTTGAGATGCAGTAAATACAGGTCAAATATTTAGGAATATTTTTTTTCATTGGTAACCTATCAAAACAATCTACAAATATTATTTGAAATTACATCAAGAACGAGCATTGGGATGATATAAACCTCTGTTGACTTTTAATAATAAAGAACTAGATAACAATAAATATTACAATAACCATAAATAGTTAATCAGACATTTTTAAAATGACTACTTCAACAATTCATAACTAAAGTTGCTACTTTATATATATATATATTTATGGAAAAATAGCTTAATATAACCTTTTCATGACAGTTCATACTAACAACAATGACTGAAAGGTCAAAGGTTATCATTTTAGCTAGTGCGATGGCTAACTCTCTTCACGTTAGCAAATTAACCAATGTGGCGGTTGTGATAACTCGGGATTGAATAAACACACAGCCACTCCGTGGGGTCTCAGTGTGTTTCCCAACTTATTGTCCCTCTCCTTGGGCCTCAGACAATAGTTATCTGCTAAATATTTCCACGATAGCTGATATGTGAAATGTGGCACTGTGGGCAGGCAGCCTGGGCATGTTGCTGTGACAGGAGTGGGGGGTGGAGGGTGGAGGGTTACCTGCAAATGCAGGTGCAGACAAACAAGTCGTCATGTGTTCGGGTGGGGGCTGTCGACAGCAGGTAGGATTTACAGGCACGGCCGAGCATCATTCCGGTGCTCCCACCCAGACATCCTCAGTCCTTTCCTCCCGGGACGGTGGAGATGTGTCGTTAACCTGTCGGTGGGCTTTCCTTTCGGAGTCTGAGATGAATGTCAAGTGGACATTGAAACGATTTCTTCTTTTATCGTTTTCAGTCTCCTACTTGCTGTTATTTGAGGGTGAGTCTGACTTTGCTTTTCTTTTCTTTTTTTCTTATCGCATAGGCCACAAAAATACTTCCACAAAGTTTTTGCAAAAACATGATTGAACTCTAATATTATTTTTATCCTTGTAATTTGCTTAAGAGTTTTGGCTTGTACTACTTTAATATAGGACCTTATCAATTTTAAGTTGGTAAAAGTATGTTCAATTCTTGTTTTTCACATTACAATTTCCTGACATGGGATCTAGCTCTTTATACACTGCAAATTATACAGATGGGACTAAAGTTTGGAAGATTGATATATTTGTAATTTAAATTTTCCCCCAACAGGAATGAATTAAGGACGCTATTAACCTCTCTTCTATTCTATATCTTGATATACCTTGGCTAAAAACCTCTTTTAACCTGTTTTTATATGACAGGTTAAACAGTGATGCTGTTTTTATGATGTTATCTTTTAAGGAGGTCGGAGCCGACTTTCAGTAGCAGAGGGAAGATCACAGAGGTAAATGAAAGACAAGTAAGATGAAAAGGACATTTTTATCAGTCGTGTCAATTCTGAGTAAAAACAGGTCAACAGTAATTCTTCAGATGTTTCACAGGTCAGTCTCACACAGGGTCATCCTTTAAGATGACCACGATAAAAGCACTTTTTCCAAGTGTGTGACCATGACATCAAACGGATGTGTGTGTGTGTGTGTGTGTGTGTGTGT